TTCTTCAAAAGTTTTATAGGTTTTATACTGCATGTTTCCTAAAGTCTCTGAATTGAGTTATGCTGATAGTGCCTTTTTTTTTTTAAAAAAAGGAAAGTAATATATTTAACAATTATAAAATACACTAGCCTGAATTTTAAGATTAGTTGATTTTTCCCCATTTCTTTTTCTTCCTAGCTTGAAGACCTCACACAAGATTTCACTGTTTCTCAGTTAAGCGTTGAAGCAGATTACCTAGAAGATGTTGCATGAATAGAGAGCAGAAATCTTAAATGGTGGGACTGTCGACCTTTGTAGACTGTATTTTAAGACAATCAATCTTCTGAAATATCCCCTCACAAATTGTGCCTTTTATTTCAAGAGAAAAAAATAAAACAACCCAACAAAGCTGGAGAGGGGGAAGATTTTAAGCTCGCAAAGAATGGAGTTTAATACTGCTAACTAGTTCAACTAAGGTAGAAGTTAGGTCCCAGAGAGACGTCTGTTGCAGGCGACAGACACGCCACCATTTGATTTATAAACATTCGTAAGAGAAGAAATTGATAACGCATATGAAGAATGGCAGATGTGGTTTAATGTTATGGCAACTATCTAGTTTTTTTTAGCTGAAGAAACTAAGAAAATTCAGCAGAGTTGCTATTTTGTTGACTCAGTTATCAGTTTTCAGTATAATTTATCTTTTAGCTACTGAAGTTATTTTAGTTGACAGGGCATAATTGACAAGAGTCTCAAAATGGCAATAGAATACCTAACTTGAGGTATATTACATATTAGTTCTGAATTATGAATCCCTCAGGATTTCTAGCAAGTTGACCTTTTTTGCAGCTTTTGAGTGTTTAGTTCTGTGTGGCCAAGATTGCTAAGTACTTCTGAATATTGCCGCTGAAATATGAGCCTTAACTTTAAACCTATTTTTATATATATATTAAAACATTGTTACCATTTTGTTTAATTTAATGAAAATTATAAATGATCATTAGCATGTTTTTTTCTTTGAAACACAAGTGAATGCAAAATAAAAATATTTCCAAAAAACACTTTAAAAGTTCTGTGATAAGAATCCTTTATTTAAAATAATGCTGTTTGTGATCCATGTTTTTTACTGGAGGATATGAACCTAGTTTAGCCTGCTTCTAGGCACCTTAATTTATAAAACTACCTTAAGTAGTCTGAATTTCAGTATATTTTATATACATATACATACACACACACACACACTATATATATATATATATATATATATATATATATATATATATATATATATATATATATATATATATATATATATATAATGTCATGCTTATGATTAAATGCATATGGAAATACAATGTTTACACATAGGTTTTGTTTAAGGGTTTTAATTGACACTCAGCAATATATTACGTATGATATAGTCATATTAAACCTTGACCATTTTCTTCAGCATCTTAGTGCATCTTAATAAAAATTGTCAATTTTCTTTCTAAGTAAATTTTTTGGAATTAAAATTATCCCAATTAGTATTAGTAAACTGAAATTGGTTGTGATTTGCAGTTTATTTTTAAGATTGCCCTTCACCAGTCTGTTGTTTGTTAGGCCATTAATACCTGTAATTCATATGAATTATACCCAAGCAGTTGAGGAAGGTATCAATAGAAAATGCTGCTTTGGTTTCAGTTTGTGTTCTACTTGTTGAATATGTTTAATAACAGTGATTCCTTTCCATACAAGCTGGTGTGGAAACATTGTGAAAATCTAAAATTTGGGGCTCCCTCCCCAAATTTTTTAATTATTTTTGGTATGGCATCGTACTTCCCATGTGCTCCAGGCAACATGATGGGAATGAAGTGTCACAGAAGTTGTGATCCAAGCTAGAGAGTACTAAAGTTGTGTTGTACTACATCAATTAATCTGATAAAAAGTCCTATTGAGTTTAGTGGGACTTATTTTGAGTACTGTACACAACACAGGATTGCATCTCAGAAATGTAGCTTATTTGGGGCTTAAATGAACTGCCTTGGAAAATGATATCCTGTCATATGCAAAGTGACCTATTTCTTATCTACTGCACTGGCTTAACAGATTGACAAGATGACAAGATTCTGCAAGAGATAAATTCTGATGACTGATGGGATTTTACAACCAAATAACTAAATGTGAAGATATTTTCAGAACGTATAAAAAGGCAATATGTACTGGAAGCCCATTCCTCCTGGAGGAAGTAGGAAATCAATTTTCTGACTACAATAATTATTTTCTAATAGCTATTTCTCATTTTAAGAAAAATAACCAACACTTGATAACATATGGTAGACATTTTTCCATACCAATTATTACTTTATTCTTGTCATAGCAAAATGAAACTTGCTAAAGGCCCCCAGTTTTTGCAACTAGGATAAGTACTAGGTTAGAAAAGACACTAACAACAGATAAGAAACTGAGCTGTCTTATGCATAAGGAATGAATGTAAGTACCACCTGGCTGTTTGTTACACATTGTTGGCTAAGATTATGGGGAAATAATTGAATGTTAATATTTTTCTGCTCCAGCAACTTCATTTTGAAGGACAAGATCCTTTTTTGAGATTCTTTGCTAATGTCAGGTTTTAATCTTCATGACACGAATTCAACTATTCCGGGCTATCTTTTTGCAGTTTTCTCAATTAGCAGGAGTTTCTACAAATATGTCTGCTAATGCTAGAATTGTAAATAAACTGTGATTAATAGTTTATGTACCTGGAGGAAGTTTAAACATACAAAAGAGTCATCTACCTTGCTTGTTGTATTTTCACTGAACCTCAGATGATTCACATTAAAAATATAACATTAGGGGGAAATGTGGCCTTTTCAGATAAGCATAGTGATTATCTGAACTACTATGTTTACAAGAGAAAGGAAGGTCACACAGGTGCTCCTTTCCCTGCTGCAACAGCAGCCCAAAAGGGCTCAGGAAACAAGAACCAGCCAAGGCTGTTGCAGGCCCTGTGCTGGTACATAATTTGGCACACCTCACTTCTGACAGTTTTAGTGGTAACACTAAGCTCGGGGGCCCAAGGAATGCACAAAGGTGAATATGAGGCTTCTTCAACTACAGCTTTCTAGATGACTCCATAGACGTAACCCTGTGGTTTTCTTGTCAACAATATAGAACAGTGGTGGCGAACCTATGGCACATGTGCCAGAGGCGGCATTCAGAGCCCTCTCTCTTGGCACACGCACCACCGCCACCAGCAGCAGGTTCATCAGGCTGCCACCGCCACTCGGAGTAGAAGCCCCACTCAGCACAAAGGCGAAGCAGCCAACTAACATTTTACATGCGTCCATGTGCACATGGGGCCACGAGCATGCACGTACTACAAATGGGGCAGGGCTAGTGCCTGTGTGATACTAGCCCTGCCCCATTCTTGTGTAGTGCAGTGCCTTGTATCTGTATTATGTGGTGGTGCAGCAGCAGTTTTTGCACCTTGCAACATGGTGGTCCATTTTTGCGGCCTCAGTTTTTGCATGCCAGAGGCAGCACTCAGAGGTGTCTCCCCGCCTCCCCCCCCAGGCATCACAATGTTGATGCGGCCCTGGCACTTTGCAATAAATAAGTGGGTGTTGGGTTGCAGTTTGGGTACTCAGTCTCTAAAAGGTTCCCCATCACTGATATAGAAATATTTTGGCATTGCCTCCTTTAAGACTGTTTTCAATTTTATAATCTGACCTAGTCATGTGATTTCCTGGTGGTCTCCAATCCTGATCCTGCTTTGGTTTTTTAAAATTAGCCAAAGTCAGCTAGCACTGATACCTCTTACAATAAAATGTCATTTTTCTGTTATGTAATTTATTGCATACAATCAAACCTTATATTCCTACAAACTATGCCTAGCTGGTTTTGTGTAATGGTAATAGATGTCGTGTGATTATATCAAGGAGCATCTCAAACGAAAGATTTTGTTTGGGCTTTTTAATACAGTGCATTTATAAAGACACTGTGAATTTAGGAAAGTCCTGCTACAATTAAAAGTAAACAATTTGCAATGTAGTCCATGGTTATCCCCGTTGCAAACAAATGGAGGAACTGAAAAATAATAGTTGATGATTGTTATCTTGGCAGCCCTCCAGACTGGGACTCAAAATTATTCTTGCGGAATATCGTTGCCAGTACTGTCTTTATCTTCCACTTTGATCATCCATCAGGTTCGTACTACCATCCGGGCTGGATCTCCGCACCATCGTTCTCACGGCAGGCTCGATACGGTAGAAGCACGCTTGGGAGGACGGATTTTATAACCGAGTTCCCTCCGAGCTTACATTTCGACAAAAAGCCGCCGCTGACCGCTCCGGCCCAAAATGGAAAGGCAGCCTTTAAAACCACCCGCTATTTCCTGTTACGGTTATTTCGCCGTTCTGACAGCCTTTACGCCTGAATGCCAGACGCAACGCTAGTAATAAACTGCCTCCCTCAAGCTAGCCTCGTCGGGGACAGTCGTCGCTTTTCCACTTCCGTTTGGGTTTGGCTAGAGAAAAGCAGTATTCCAATATCTGAAGGGCTGCCACAAAGAGGAGGGGGGTCAGTTTATTTTCCAAAGCACAGAAGGCAGGACAAGAAACAATGGGTGGAAACTGATCAAGGAGAGAAGCAACCTGGAATTAAGGAGAAACTTCCTAACAGCGAGAACAATTAACCAGTGGAACAGCTTGCCGTCAGACATTGTGGATGCTTTATCCCTGGAGGTTTTTAAAAAGAGACTGGACAGGCACTTGTTTGGAATGGTATCTCCTGCTTGAGCAGGGGGCTGGACTAGAAGACCTTCAGGATCCCTTCCAGCTCGATTCTGATTTCAGCGCTTTGACATTCCCGCCCTCATTGGACTCAGAACGAAAACTCCTGCTCTCGGGCCTTCCTCAATTGTGGGCACAAGACGGGAGAAGCCCCGCCCCCGTCCTTCAGTTTCCCGCTCTATTCTTCCTGCCTTTGCTTTGAAACTGGCGCGGCTTAAGTTCGATGCTCTCCTGCCCGCCCCCCCCCACCCCGAGCGAGCGTTCTAACGGAGGGCTCGACGTGATACGTCACAAAGCTTTCTTTCACTTTCCTTTGGGGAGCTGGAGCGTGGTCTTTTTCGGGATCAAAAAGCTCCGCTAGGAGATTTGGAGGCTGGGCGAGGGGAAAGGAGTGTAAATGTGGGCGGTGGGAGATCTGGACTTCGCAGGGAAAGCGCTGTAGGGCTGCGTCCCACAATAACAGGGCGACCTACTGTTATCTAGGCTAACTATTGGGAAAAGGAGGAATACGGAATAGCTCAAGAGAAGGAGAATAGCAGTGGCTTAGGTCGTAGGGTATAACAAAACGAAAGAGGTATTACGATAGGCACACGATATAGGAGGGACTGAATTGGATTTTGTATAATACTGACTCGCTGGATTAATTCTCTCCTGCTGAAGCACATTTATTGAGAAACTCAATTTTGAAATGATTTGCCACAGATGGTTTGGCATTATTTAAACATCTGTTATTTAAGAAATCCTGTTGTTAACGCTTAGTGGCTATGGAGTCGTCCAGGTCATGGTTGTCCCAAAGGTGTTTGTTCAAAAGGCAACTAGACTTTGCTTTTCCTTGAAGATGTTTCGCTTTTCATCCATGGTCAGAACTGAAGAAGCCTCTTGGATGAGACATGAAACATCTTCAAAGGAAAAACAAAGAAAGTCCAGTTGACTTTTGAAAAAGTGCCTTTGGATTGTTAACCCTTGTTAAAGATTATTGGATATTCCTATACGTTTGTTAAAAAACTGAAAAGCTAAAGATACTTTTGAGCACCTACAAAATGCATTCATTGGGTAAATTAAGGTTTCTTTACCTTGAATAGGAGGTTGAGTTAAAAGACCTGCAAGGTCCTTTCTAACCCTATTATTTTATGTTCTAAATCAGAGAATGTGACTGATGTTATTGTTGGACTGCAGTTGGAATCTTCAAAAACATGTTCTACAATTGCTCATATTTGATGTAATGGTCATAGGACTGCCAATTTGCTTTTTAGTAATAATGATTGCTTGCAGGCTTGTATAGGAACATACCTGAGATGATGGATATTGTATGTGTGGGTGAGGAATATGGGTAGACAAAAGAACTTGAATATCACTTTGGAAAGACTAAGCTATGCAGGACATAAAACAGTGGACAATATAAGCATCACAATTTGTAGACAGGCATCCTAGTTTCAACTTGATGGTACTCTTTATTTTTTATGAATCACTTGGAACAGGAGGGAATAGAAGATAACAGGTGTTGGGGGTTGTTTAAAATTAGACCATAGATTCAATGTAGCTTATGTTCAGATTGTTGCCTATTTTGGTTTTAACTAAATAGTAAACTGTTAAAAGACAAGCAAGGTGTGAAGATAGCAACTCTGTACTTCTTCACATTAACTGCATTTTTGTGCAGCAGCTGTTATGATTCCAGAATAAAATGTAGCTGTTTTAAGGCCTTGCAAACCAATGCTGCCTTGGCATATTTTAGAGAATTTCTTTATTTTCAGAAGACTGCACAGCCACACTTTTTCCACTTTAAATGAGCATAAAAATACTTAACTGCATCTTTCTAAATTGTAAGACAATATGATAATGAATGTGTTTGTGTGTTTTTAATAAAATCTATTTCCTAAATAATTTTTTATATCTACTTTTAGGCAAAAAGACTTAAGAAAAACGAGGAACTGAAATTTGCACTAAAATGAGTTCATAATCTCTGTATTTTTTCACTTTGTACAGATATTCTATACATAATAAAGTTAAATAATTTTTCTGTAAATAAGCTGTGTCAGGTAAGTGCCTTGATATACTAACACAATAACCTTATTTTGTATCTTGAGTATGTGTGTACAAAATATTTAGAAGTATATTGATCCATAGATTTTAGGGAAAAAATATCAGAAAGAAGATTTCTTAAGAGTTTTCTCTCAGAATTATATTCTCTACTTTTATCAGAAACTAATTTATAGTTTTAAGGTATCTAAAGTTAGCAAATTGAAGTAGAGGATATTTTAGTTAGATCCTATGTATGCTTCAAGAACATCTGTCTCGTATTAGAAATATCTGTAGGAGATGACAAGGCTGAGCCTGAGGGAGGGGGTCAAAGTTATGAGTCCCTGCACACCCACAAAAGATCTAAATCCAGCCCATCTTAATGCTTTCTTATTCCCGCTCATTTCCCTTGACTGTTAGTAGATTAGATTTTTGTATAGAGCTTAAGCTTATACTTATTTGAACTGCCTGAATCTCCTGATTTCACCAGTGTGTGATAATATTAGTAGACACAAGGCATGAGTAAAAAAAAAAATCCATTTATACCTAGTATTTCTCTAATAGACAAATGTTCACTGATGAATACAATTACTTTTATAGTCTTATAAAATTATTTATGAAATTATGCTTCTAGGAATTGTCATATGTAACATCTTTTAGATAACTTATGAAAGTTGTAAATAAATAGTCAAGTCATTTTTGGCAGGGGGCAGTACAAGTAATTTTCAGGTTATAAAGACAATTGGGACTGGAATTGCCTTGGTAAGCAATGCAGTGGTAAAATGACTTTTCCTGTGACTGTGCTGCTCAGGGATGGCATTAAGAGAACACTGTGTGGGTCATTAAACACGGACCTTACATGACTGTGACTTCCAACTTCCTGCTCGCTTCCCCATTTACTTTCCTACTGGAAAGTCAGCAGGAAACTTTGGAAATTGCACTAGCATGATAGCAGCTTGCTGCAACGTTGCAATTGCAAGCCAGGTGCCCAGCACCTGGATCTCAGACCCTGTAATGGCCGGAATTCTGCAGACCAATCGTAAGTGCCCCTTGTTAAGCACTGTCGCAAGTTTGAACTGTTGCTGATGCAGTTGTAATGCACACAACAACACTTGTATGTGCATGCTGCATTGTGTGTGTAGGTGCATTCTGATTATTGAACAGGTGTGCTGAATCTTTGCTACTTGGGAGATTAATAATACTTTTTTTTCTCTACAATTCTCTGTTCCCAGTCATGCCTACATTAAAAAAATTTCGTGCTATGATGCATATGAACAAACGGGGATTAAGAAGAACATGTACTTTGGATGAGATCAAGACAGATGTCTCGTTTTTATATCCCCCTCCAAATGGGGGTTGGGGCTGGGTTGTAGTCTTAGCTGCTGCTACTCACTGCTTGTTTGTCAGTGGATTTCATAGCGCTTTTGGTGTTTACATGCTGCCCCTTCTTGACACTTTTAAGTCAAGTAACTCGCAGATAGGTAGGTCATTGTTACATTAAGATTCCTTTGATATATTGTACTGCAGTTTTGTTTATAATTATATCTTGCTTAACAAGATAAGCAAGCAACCATTTGTTAAGCAAATGGTTTAAACCACAGGTCCCCAACCTGTGGCTGTAGCCCGCTACCGGGCCATGGCCTTTTGGCCACCAGGCCACATGCCAATGCTGGCCAGTGCATGTGTGTGTGCGCACGCACTCACTTCCCATTCATGCTAGCACCTCCGCAAGCGCAGCCCTGAGCTTTATTTGGGCACAAGCAGCTCTGTTTGTGTCATGCAGGCACTAGCAGTCCCGTTTGTATCATGCAGGAGCGTTGCATGGGTGCTAGTGTGTGTGCTCGCGGCCTGTTTGTGCATGCGCATGCATGCATAAAGGTGCCTACCCCTCCCTTTCCCTCCAGGCTGCCAACCCAAAAAGATTGGGGACCTCTGGTTTAATCTATATGGCAATGCTCTTGAAAACTACAAGAATTAGAGTCATTTACATCAGTGAAACATACAAGTAATTTCATAGTACTATTTTTTTATATGTTTAATTAAACATATTTGTCTCTTTAAGCTTGGATTGGATCTGTCAGCTACGCTTTCATTATGATTTTTGGCCCTGTTTCTGGAAAACTTCTTGTGAAGTATGGAGCTATAAAAGTGGCGATAATTGGAAATCTAGTGACCATAGGTGGTCTGGTGTGGTCATCCTATAGTGAAAAATTATCAATGCTGTTTTTCACTCATGGAATCATTGTTGGTGTGGGATCAAGTCTGGCCTACACTCCAGGTAACACTTTACATTAAAATAAAATTTTGTCACACATTTCTTCTCTTTTTGAAAACATATTTTTGCTTTTCTTTTGTGACAGAAAAACAATGTAGACAGCACTTTTTCATGAAAAATAACTGCATTCTTTGTTTTGAAAGGCGTAATTCACAAACAGTACATATATACAACAACGTATCATACACTTTAATTTCCTAAAATAATTTACAAAGGGTTTGAAATTGTAAAAACTAAAAAAAATACTGTTTAAAAAGACTAAAAAAAAATACAAGCGAATAAGATTTTGCGTCTTGTATTTTTTTAGTTGATTGGGCTTTAATTAAAAGCTTGCAACCTAAACACAGCTTCACATTTTTTGCAAATCATTATATAAATAATTTCACTTTAATAAATGAACACTACAGCAAAAATAGAATATTTGATTTTAAAACAGTTTTATAAATGTGCTAAATGTTTTATAAATTTGCTAAATGTGATATTTTCTCAGAGAGCTATATAACATCCATTAGGAGGAAAGTGAATATAAAGGAAATATATATTTTAAAAACTGTATCCTATGCAGTATGGAAAGTTAATAAAAGTTCTATTTGTTATTTACAGTGGAAAAACAGTTTGCTAGGGCTAGAAAATCATTTCTACCTGGAGGTACTATTTATATTCCACGAAGAACTGATTATATATTATCTGTATCATTAGAGAGATGGATTCAGATCGATGCAAATGGAAGTCATCCATAGGATATACATTTTAGCAATTATGGAGTCTAGGAAAGAAAACCCATTAAAATTATTTTCCTAACTTATACTGGCCACAGTTGTTCCATTATCACCTCCAAAAGTACACAGCTTCTGAAAACAGGTCTCTCAGCTTGCAAAAAGTTGTTAGTGTATAATTTTCAATGGGAGTGAAGGAATGACCCATGTAATAAGTGTAATACAGTGTATTATTTTTTTTTAAATTAAGTGTAAATGAAATCAAATTTAGTTTAAAAAATAAAAAGGCAAAGGTTTCCCCTTGCCCAGTTGTGTTTGACACTTGGAGGCAGTGCTCATCTCCGTTTCTGAACTAAGGGAGCCATCATTGTCTGAAGACACTTCTGTGATCATGTGGCCAGCATGACTATATGCCAAGCTGCCACAGTACCCCCTTCAAATTTAGTTGAACCTAACCCAAACTATTATTTTAGGGCATATCCAGTGGTGGGATTCAGCCAGTTCGCACTAGTTTGGCAGAACCGGTAGCTAATTTTTTGTTGCCCAGGCCTAGAACGGACTCCCAGAAGCGGCACCCACACAGAGAACCAGTTGTTCACATATTTGAATCCCACCACTGGGCATATTTCTAGCATCCAGCCTGTCAGTCAGAGCTAATTTGGCTCTTAGTCCAATGAACTCTGAGCAGCCATAATCTAAACTAGGTTTTGAGAATTTCTACGACTCCAGAATGCCCTCTTCATCATATTGTTTGAGAAGGGGCAAAATGCCTGAATTCAAGGCATAATGTTAAGCAATATGTTTATTTTTTAAAGTTGGACAAATGTAATAGGTCTGCTAAGTCTGATTAAGTTTAACATGCCTGTTTTAGCCCTTTCAATTTATCAGTATTTGCCTTCCTGCTATGCTGCTTAAGTTACCTTGCAGTTTGATCGAGAAATTCTCCAGATTTCTGGAATGGATTCTAAATGGACTTGAAAGGCTAGGAAATGGCCCACTAAACCTTGCATACTTATAAAACCTCATCCTGCCCATCACAAAGGAAGGAAATCCCAGTTATTTCATTCATCAGATTTAAAATTAGTTTGGCTTGCAAATGACCCCAGCATACGTGCAACTGGGAGCATGCCTCATAAAACCAATTTTTTTAATTGGGACCAATGAAAAGTAATGGCTGTATGCATAAGCTTTCTCCTTTCCCAGATATCTTTCTCATGTTCAATAAAAACCTGAGAAGTGACTGGACTTCAATATAAAACAACTCCTTTAAATTACTGTATTTCTTGATAGGCCTGATAATGGTTAGCCTTTACTTTACTACAAGGCGCTCATTTGCCACTGGATTGGTGATGGCTGGAGGGGCTGCAGGAACTTTCGTACAGAATAGACTTCAGTATTATTTAATTCAGAAACTTGGATGGAGACATAGTTTGCGTGTATATAGTGGAATTCTATCCATATGTATTTTTGCTGGATTTGCATACAAGCCTCTTCAAAAACGTATGTAACTGCTTTAGGCATTTTTAATTAAATATCTCCTTTTCCATGTTGGAGGGGGAGGGAATCCATATTTGGTAAAAGAATAATACAAAATAGCACAAAGAGTTCCTTGCAGACTTTTGAATTCCCCTAAATCGGGTCCCCAACGCCCGGTCCGTGGATCAGTTCTGGGCTGCGGCATGCCAGCAACCAGGCCACACAAACAAGCAAAGCTCCATCCTCAGGATGCAGGCAGTATTCGAAACCACACCCCCTCCGGTCTGCGGAAAAACCTCTCTCCACGGAACCGGTCCCTGGTGCCCAAAAGGTTGGGGACCTCTGCTCTAAACAGTGACTCATACGAAACAGACCCTCCCCGATAAATAAGTAACAAAATAGGAATAAAAAGTAAGTAAATCCAGCGTTTAGGACAACTGTTGCAACCATGTTTACAATCTGATCTCAATCTGGGATGTGGATTATAGATTGAATGCTCCAATGGACAGTGTCATATAACAAATGGAAATTATGTAAGAGGTACATGATTCAACACAGCCACTTGTTTGCTTTTGAATAGAAGGGAAAAAAATTGGCAGATGCCATTTATCCCTCAAGAACAAGAAATTGTGCATTGCTTAAATTAAAAAGTGACCCTATTTTATCTCAGCACCCTTTCATAGACAGCTTTCCAAAGACCCTTTTTCATGTTTTTTTAAATTGGGACAAGTCTTTAATAAGATAATATATAACCATTGACTATAAATGGGAATTATATATTACAAACATCCCAGGACTATTTTGAAAAGATAGCTATATATCTAGTTTCCCTCATATAATATTTAATTCAATTTTTCTCTATCTGGATGTGGGTAAGATGTAGCTGCCAATAATGTGGTATAAGGCAGAAAGTGTTTATCTTGAAGTCATAAATTCATTGGGCATGTGAGTAGATAAGAACTTGATATGCCTTAAGGGTGCAGTAGAAATAGGTTTCACAATCGTATTTTATTAAATTCAGATTCTGGTCAATGATTGTAGTAACATTTGTCTGCCAGGGATTATTTCAGGATATTCCGTTGCTAAGTTGTGTCTGACCCTTGGCGATCCCATGGATCACAGCATGCTGTCCTTTTCTATCTTCCAGAGTCTGCCCAAACCCATGCCCACTGCATCAATGACACTAATGACATCCTCTGCTGTCCCCTTCTCCTTTTGCCTTCAGGCTTTGACAACATCAGAGTGTTTTCTAATGAGCCCTCTCTTCTCATTTGGTAGCCAAAGTATTTGAGATTCACCTTCAATATCTGTCCATCCAAAGGACAGTCAGGGTTGATTTCCTTTAGGATTAAGTTACGTGAAGAGGCTGAATATAAACATAAGCTCAGATTCATATGGCCTTGCAATAGCTAGAATTAAGAAAGTCAGCATGTTTGACCCTTATTTTTTTTTTAAAAAAAATGTTTCTCAGATCTCAGAAGTATTTCACTATAGATTTTTTGATAACTTCTACTCTTCCTAAATTACCTTTATCACTACTCTCATTTATCATTCTGCCTCCAGTCTAAGTTGGGTTTTTGAGCTGATAAGAATTCAGGAGACAACTAGTTCAGCTACTGTCAATAAAGAGACCTGTCATTTGACTGTGTGCTCATTCTATTTTATTTAATAAATTTATAGGGCAGCATTTGGGAACAGAAAAGCTGTCAAGGATTAATTAGGAAAGACCCTATCAGTATGCTTTGTAATAGAAGATAAATTCATGCTGTTGGGAAATACTGTAGTTTAATTTCTGAAGTTTATGTTTCCTATACCTTTCATTTCAGTAAAAGATGTTAAGATTTTGGATAAACACATGCTTGGAAAAAAGACTGCTCTCAGTTTAATACCTCTGAGCCTAGGACTGCACTAAAGCAACCTGATTAATTTCTTAAATCACCCATGCTGTTTGCTTCTAGGAATGCAAATTACAAATGCAAAGCAACTAAGCAGTTGCTTCAAATATCTAGAACAAATTTCCTTAACTGAGGGAAAACTGAGTTAAATTGCAGCTCCCATTATCCTGTCAACCCTATAAAGTAGACTAGACTAAGAAATCAATGCCATATACTGTAGGTCTAAAACTTCTTTTATTGGAATAGCTATAGTGGAAAAAAATCTTGCAACTCCCAATGGGCTTTCTTCTGCCCTCATTTTATCTTTCTATGAACCAGGGAGGAGTGCATCTGAGATGTTTACTCAAATTAGTTTCTTGGAATGGACTTAAGCCATACTTGTTTGATTGTTGCCTTGGTAGTGACTTATCCTCCTGTTTTTCAAGGCCATTCCTTATATCTCTTACACATTCCCACCTAGCATGCTGGCTGCATTTTGGAAGTTGTAGGCACCAGGATAGGAAAAGGCTGGTGTGCTGCCTATTCGTGATAAAAATAAACTTTTTGTGTCACACGGAACTCGTTCTCCCTAATGGCTGTACCTGCTCCAGCCTTGTTCAGCAAGTAATGTTAGCATACTGTAGGTTCTGATGGTACATAAAATCATTCTTTTCAATCATCCTGAAAATAATTGGTTAAACATCACACAAATCTGTCCTGTGCTCATTTGTTATATGCTTTTTTGTTATGTGGGTTGAACATAACTTGTTGCATTTATTGCTTTCTGGTGAAATTCATCAGTATTCTAGGGCATTGTGTAAACAGCAGCAATAATTTCTCTTGTTTTTGCTTTGTATTTTAAAGATAGAACTCATCCAAGTGTAGTTGAAAAATTTAAAACATCGCCACTAAGAGGTTTTATAGTTGATTTAGGTTTATGGAAAGATCGTATTTTCGAGGTATGGGTCAGTTCTCTTGGACTAGCGAAATTTGGGTTCTTCATACCTTTTGTGCATATGGTAAGTGATCGTTACTGTTTTTGGGCTTTTCTGTTATAGCTTACAATGCTTAGTTTTGTAGCATATGTAAAACCTGTATATTCTAAATATTTTAAGACATGTGGCTAGCATTTAATCTTTTCCAGTCTTTTAATCCTTATCTCAATTTTGGAGAAGGTCCACATCAATTTGGGCCAAGTTGATTTACTTTTAGTAGGTGTAAGATTGCCCTTTATGCATAATAGGTAAGTGGTCACTGTGAACAAGAGTAACTTTGTTTCAGTAACATCAGATACTCCAACTGTAGTCTTGTCTGCAGTAACTTCAAAACTTGAATAATACTTTGCGGATTATTTTTGAGGGATATTTTTGTAAGAAAACATGGTGTCATTGCCTCAGGACCTAAATTTGGTGTTCTCTTCATGTATTGGATCAAATCCCATAGTCCCCTCTCACTTTAATTTTTGGCAATATATTATGGAGGCACCAAATTTGAGAAGACTAATGTATCCAATGAAGGCAGAAGTGTCAAAAAGGGAGTATGAAATGTTTGGATTCTCAGTCAGTCACATCTATTTTTTGCTGACTATTTGCATAAACCTTTAAACAAGTGTCACTCAATTTGAGGCTATACTTAATTACTAGGTTAGCTTAATCATGACTAGTGTTCACCAAACAGAACACTTTCAAAAAGGGCAACTTGACATGTTAAAAATAGCTGTTGCTTTTCTTACAGATGAAACTTGCAGGTGATTTGGGTATTCCTTTGGAAAAAGCATCCTACATTATGGTAGGACTTGGAGTAAGCAGCATGATTAGTTGTCTTCTGTTTGGAAAAATTTGTGATATTGAAAATATCGACCGACTTTATATTAATCAGGCATCCATATTATCTGTTGGTAAGTTTCATAGTAAGCTTCTGAATGTGTTTTGCCTGAAATTTTTTTTAAAAAGTTAATAAAGCTTTACGGTTCTAGAACTAGAAGCATCTAGATATCAGTTATGTCAGCACAACTGCAAGTTAACACTATGTCTTAATGTTAACTGTTGTCAAGTCTTCTTGGGGCCATTCTTGAGATTGCTTGAATTCCAGTTCCCCATAGTCACTGGTGAACATAGTGACTAGGAATTAGGGAAATGGAATCTGACTCATGAGGTGGGTTCTAGACTGAGAGAACCTGACTTCCTTATGGTACTCCAGCAAGAGGCACTGGGCACTTGGAACCAATGCATAGAATTTTTTGGTAAACAGAACTAAAATATTGGAAATAAACAGTGGCAAAGCCTGATGATTGTTATTCTATCTCAGTTTACCTTAGAGGGTAAATAAATATGTTTTGTTCATGTTGAAACATACTTCCTTCATCTTTTATTTTTCAGGTGTGGTCTACTTTATTATTCCTCACTGCACATCTTTTGGTACTCTTGTAGCCATTTGCTCCCTTTTGGGATTTTTTGATGCAGGAAACTATGTTCTCCTACCTGTCCTTACATTTGATTTGATGGGAGCAGAGAGAATGCCTGTTGCATGGGGATTTATGATGGCTGTCAATGCAATTAGCTGTTTTGGTCCACCCTTTGCAGGTAAACCAGTTAGTGTGGTTGTATGATTTGTCTGTAAAGATACAATTGAACATTGTTAGCCTAGAGCACGGGTTGGCAACCCGTGGCTCCGGAGCCACGTGTGGCTCTTTGAGCCTTCTCCTGTGGTTCCCAGCCTCCTCCACCATTTGCAGAGAGACAGAGACAGAGAGAGGCACTTGCGCTTCCCTTCTCTCTCTCTCTCTCTCTCTCTCTCTCTCTCTCTCTCTCTCTCTCTCTCTCTCTCTCTCTCTCTCTCTAAAAGAGAGTGGCCTCACGCTGTTCTCCGACAAGCTGACAAGCTTATTGGGTGTGGCTCCTGCCTTTGCTGTGTCTCAGCAGGAAGCAGGAAGTAGCAGCTCTCTCTCTCTCTCTCTCTCTCTCTCTCTGTGTGTGTGTGTGTGTGTCTGTCTCTCTGTGTCTCTGTCTCTATCTCTGTCTCTCTCTCTCTCTCTCTTTCTCTCTCTCTCTCACACACACACACACACACACACACACACACACACACTGAATGGGAGAAGAGGCCTGGCAGACCAAGGGCAGGAGAGAGCCAGCCCAATAAGAATGTGTGTCAGTTTGTTGGAGCGTGAAGCCAGCTTGCCAAGTGAGCAGAAGTTCGGAGAGAGGGAGGGGGGAAGGAGGGAGGGGGAGAGAGAGAGAGAGAGAGAGAGAGAGAGAGAGAACTCATGCACAGCAACCTCTATTTCTTTTTAATTAAACTCTTCAATCAAGCTCCTCTACTCCTGTGTGCGCGCGTGCGCAGGTTTTACAGCTCCCAGTGTTTTCTTTTCTCTGGGAAATGGATCCAAGTGGCTCTTGAGTGTTTAAGGTTGCCGACCCTGGTCTAGAGAAAACTAAATTGCTAATGTGCCCAAGATCTGACTCTTCCTATGGCTTGCTTGCTTGCAGCACCCAAGCAGGGAGAATGATATTAGCCACAGTAAGATAGCATCACAGGATTTCCCCAGTCTGCTAGACTCCCAGGTCTGATGGCACAGGGAGGTCCTGAGGGACTTGCAGAGTATTGAAAGGGGTGGACCTAGCCTCACTTCTGGGGGTAGAAGATCTCATAATGGGAGTACCACAGGCAAAGACAGCCTGCTTTCTGGGACCCAAGTTTAAGTCCCTAATAGTTGGGACATGCAGCATCTTTCTCTGACAGATTTGGTGGGCAAGCAGATATAATCAGGAAGAAGCAGTCCCTCAGATCTCTCCTCCCCAACTACCACCACTTGGAATCAACCCTGGAGAAAGGAAGTGCACTTGACCAGCACTGTACCATCCACCCCCAATCAATGTCAATCTGGAAGGACACCATGGTCAATGGTATCAAAAACTACAGAGAGGTCAAGTAGGGCAAGGATGGGATACATGACCCCCATCTCACACTTGCCTGGTTTCTTGAGGAGGGAGTGAGGCAAATTGACTATCGCCAGTGTCTACTCACATGTTCCCTTGAACCAGTTTAATCAGGAAGGAAGGACATGGACCTAAAGAGCAGATGGCTGAGCTTGTAGTTCCAAAGACCCTGTTCACTTCCTCAGGTAAAAAAGGTTCAAATCTGATCCAATAACAGGGCAGCAGTCCTTCCTAGGTGTTTCCATCGGTCTTGCAACAAGACCAGTGTCCACCTGAGAATGTATCTGAGCAACTTTGTGTGACAGATGGCTGAGCATATTCCTTCTTGTGCTCCTGCAAGAGGTTATCCGAGCCCTTAGCCACTCAGGAGCTCATACCACGAGGGCTCATGCCACCCAGAAGAGGATGGCAGGGCAGTTATCTGCATATATAATAAGAATAGAGAATTAATTATGCTTTGCCACACTTAACAACAACACCACTAGTTAGGTCTTAATGGCATGTCTAGCCCATGTTTGAATTCATTGAGTATCAGCAAAGCGTTAGATGTCTCTTCTCTTGCTTCATCTCTCTCAACTCCTCTATAGAGTGCCAGGATCCCTGAAAGGGAAGAGGTCACATGGGTGCAATCTGATCCAAAGCCTCAGCCATCCCCTTATTCCAAGTGGTGACCAGAAGTTTGCAGCACAATAGCAGGAACAACTCCCACTCCCTTTGGAACCTATCTAGGTGCATTAGTCACCGGGGACGTTCCTCTTTCTGCGTATGCCTGTACAGGTAGTCCTTGTTTAATGACCATTCATTTAGCAACCATTTGAATGTATGACAGCACTGAACAAGTGGTAGTTACAGTGGGCCTTTGTACCTACAACCATTGCAGTGTCCTGCAGTCACGTAATAACAATTTGTGTTGTTGGCGCCTCACAAAGTCAGTGGGGAAGCCAGCAGGAAGTCAGAAGCTGTGATTATATGAGGTTCTCACTTAACAAACTGCACCATTCTCATTTAATAATGGCAACTGGGGACTGCCAGAACTGCTGCAGCTAAGCAATATGATCCCCATTTTTATTTATTTATTTTTTTACATAAAACCACATTGCTAAATGATGGAGTTTCCAAACCCAATTAGCATAGTTAAACAAGGACCACTTGTATAGTTTTTGGGATCAGGAAGGTAGATGCTGTGATTACTTAAATCTTTTTGATACTGAAATGTAGGGCATCATTTGAAAGAAAATTCTGTTTTGGGAAAGGAAGCACAAAAGTAAACAACATACTTTTGTTTCAGGTGCAATGTATGACATATATGGCAGTTACACCACTGGCTTTGTAGTAACAGGGATCTGCAATATTGCAGCAGCTGGTATACTTGCTTTAATACCCTGGTTGCAAAGAGAAGCAGTCCAGTCAACAAAAAACTACATTAATGCTTCTGTCTGTGTAATAACCAATACTATAGTGCCTTGGCAATCTCCAAGTCCTTCATTAGGGGTAAGGAATATTTGATGATATTTCTTTCTCTAAACAAGAACATTCAGCCTTTTCTTCCTCTTCCTCTCCCTCCCTTCCTCCTCCTCCTCCTCCTCCTCCTCCTCCTCCTCCTCCTCCTCCTCCTCCTCCTCCTCCTCCTCCTCCTCCTCCTCCTCCTCCTCCTCTCCTTTGTGAATTCTATACCAACCTGAATCTTTGTTAGGCATTTTATCACAAGGACCCTTTCATATTATTAGCATTTCTGTTGAAAGGTGATAGAGAAATTAATATAAAATCTTCATCATGGTCTTTCTGATTTGCTGAAATAGGATGTGCCAGCTACATGGAGACTCATTTAAACGTCTTAGAGTTTAGAGATGTTGGCACAAATCCCTGCCCTTTGTGTGGTTCCAGGTAATTTTTTAAAACTGCACCACAAGCAGCATGTTTGACTAATTTCTCCAGAGACTTTCCCCCTCAATTCTGTTATTTTCTTTTTTGTCATTTTATTCATTTTTACTTGTTCCTAGACAAATACAAAGTATAAGAAGTACAGTTTCATTGCCATTTGGCTTTAAGAACCTTGAAGGCCCTTTTACTAAATGCTTCTGGTAGGGAGTAACTCACTCTGAAATAGCTTATGCCATTTTTGTCTGGGAAAAGGCTAAGTTACACAGTCTGCCCCCCCCCCCAAATCAGATGTTCATAAAGGAAGCCTGATACAATTACTGTTTCTGTCAGAAATGTGTTGAAAATGGTAGTAAAAGCTACCATAGCATCTGAACATCTAGATTGAGGCTTCATTGCCCATCTGCCTCAAATACTGTACACTTAGTTCTTGTTTAGTGACCACAGTTGGGACCAGTAACTCAGTTATTAAGCAAAGTAGTTGCTAAATGAAGAATCATATGACTGTTAACTGTATAAGATTTTACTTCAGCCTTCCTGCTTACAGTATCAGAAGGATACAACTCCATTTAGGTGGTTGGAAAGGTCTCCAAGTTTAATTCATGAGGAAGCTGGGTAAAAAGTGGAATCTTATAGCTCTTCCCCCCCCCCCCCGAATGCTCACCCTTATACTGGGACAATTAGCAAGGAGGAAATTAATATTTGTATTTACAAACCTTGGAGAGGAAGTGATTACAAGAGAGTAAGGCTTGGGTTTTGGTTTGGGATTACAGTTCTTACAAGCTGGTTTAGGATGTTGGGAATTAAAATAATCTTTATATATATTTTAAAATTGTCCCAAAGCAGGGATTGAGGGATATGTGGAAGGATGGCTTATAGCCGATGAATCTGAAGATTATTTAAATTAGAGTTTTCAAAAGGAATTTGAACAGTGATCATGACAAATAGATGATAGACTTTTAAAATCAGATGTATACTATCTTTATCTCAGATACACAGTGCGAATTCAGATTACAAAGAGGAAATGTGTTTGGTATAAATTTCCTCATCTATTTTTTTTCTCAAAATCTACTTCGACGTTTGTTTTGTTTTTTTGTTTTGGTGGGGAAAAGGGGTGATTACTCCATGTCCAGAGAACGGAAGTACGCTATTGAATTTCTGTCCTTAATACTGTCTTTCATAATACATTTACTTGTTTTCTTACAGAGTATTAGTTCCTCGTTCACAAAATCAATGGCATCTCCTAAACAAAGTACATCAGGCCATTCAAAAGGATTCAGCATGAAGTCTTTTAAGAGTATACTAAAGTCAGAGGCAGCATCATATAAGAATGTGACTCCACAAGTGACCTCAGAACAAAGGCCTTCTGTGGAATATATCAGGGTTCTCCAGGAGCATGAGGAGAATACAGCCGACGGGAAGCAAGATTCAGGCAAATCAGAGTTAGCATCTCTTCGAAGTCAAACTTCAGTCTCCATGATCCAGGCAGAACCCATTCCTTGTAGAAAAGAAGATGGAGTGGTCTTCTTGAATGAGTATGAGGGAGATGAAGAAGAAGCTGGGATTACAACCGAAGTAAGGCCTGCACAAGAGCTAACAGTGCCAGAACAATTTGTGAGAAGGGAAAGGTCAGACTCTAAACAGTTAGAGCGCTTTCCTCACAGAAAAGAAGATGGGGTGGCCTTCTTAGATGAGTATGAGGAAGAGGAAGAAGAAGCTGAGATTACAACCGAAGTAAGGCCTGCACAAGAGCTAACAGTGCCAGAACAATTTGTGAGAAGGGAAAGGTCAGACTCTAAACAGATGGAGCGCTTTCCTCACAGAAAAGAAGATGGGGTGGCCTTCTTAGATGAGTATGAGGAAGAGGAAGAAGAAGCTGAGATTACAACTGGAGTAAGGCCTGCGCAAGGACTAACAGTGCCAGAACTATTTGTGAGAAGGGAAAGGTCAGACTCTAAACAGTTGGAGCACATTTTTCACAGAAAAGAAGATGGAGTTGCTTTTTTAGATGACTTTATTAGTGGTGAGGAAGAGCACTTGAAATATATGCCTTCTGCCTCTCACAGAAAAGAAGATGGGACGGTGTTCTTGGAGGATATTGATGACCCTAATGTGTATCAAGAGCAGCTTAAAAGCACAGCTGCACCGAGTCCAATGGAAGATGTAACCAAATCAGAAATGGCATCTGAAGAAAATGAAACTTCCACATCATTGAAAGATTCTGAACACACTTCCCCACAGAAAGAGCAATGATGTGATATTTGCTAAAGATGAAGTTACAATTTACAGTCATAGTAGGACATAATAAGAATTCATTAGTAATATTAATGGCATTTGATCTAGCACATCTTTATGACTTACTTGTAGTAATTTCCTTGTGTTATTCTGTCTACTTTTGTCATGCTTATTTACATAGCTTTTTCTTTTTCATTATTTTATAACTTAGATGTACCAACAATTTGAAAAGAACTGGGTTCCCAGCAGATATTAAAACCATTTGGTCATTTTGCTGCTTTTGGAAAATAAATGAGCCTTTAAAGTTTAAGTTATTTATACTTTGTAGCTAAATTGAGTTGAGACTACCATCCTATGCAAGAAGATAAAAACATGGAGCCCTAATCTTTATCCTCATTTTCTGCTACTGCACAGCAGGACTCTGTATTCTAGGTGAAAAATTTTGTTCATCCTAGGGTGCACATTCAGCTAACTGCTCTTAATGCTGGGAGATTAGATAATCCAGTACTTTACTGTTTCTTTCATCTTGTTTCAGAGTCTTTAGTGTCACTAAAATGTCACTAAAGACATTTTATTGTTTGTTTTCATGATCAATATAGTGAAAGTGCAATGTAAAAAGATGGAATAGTAATGCACGAGTACAGTTTAGAATACTGTATATTTTTCTAATCTGGTCTATAATGTTAGGCACTTGGAAATATACATATAGTCAGGTTAATGTATATTGGGATGATATTTGGCCTCTGTACATCTCTACATTAAATTTGAAATGAAACACTCAAGATGTGAGCAAAGTGAAGACTTTCAGCTTTAATTCTAGGGGTTTGACAAAGGTGTGACATTAATCATTGAGCCATTTTAATACTATTGTATTCAAAATCTTTGAGAACCAGTTTGACATGGTGGTTAAGGTGTCAGACTAGAAACTGGGAGAGTGTGAGCTCTAGTCTCACCTTAAGCACAAAGCCAGCTGGGTGACCTTGGACTAGTCACTTTCTCTCAGTTCTAGGAAGGAGGCAAGCGCAAAACCACTTATGAAAATCCTTGCCAAGAAAACTACAGGGACTTGTCCAGGCAGTCTCTTTAGTATCGGACATGACTTAAGAGAAGGAGGGGAAAAATCAAAACTATTCATTTTGATGAGGTACACGTGTGATTTGCAAACTCAATCACTGGAGGTTTTCAAGAAGAGACTGGACAGCAGTGGTGGAATTCAAATGTGTGAACAACCGGTTCTCTGTGTGGATGCCGCTTCCAGAAATCCATTTTTGGCCTGGACAACAAAGAATTAGCTACCAATTCTACCGAACTGGCTGAATCCAATCATTGCTGGACAGCCATTTGTCTGGAATGGTACAGATTCTCCTGCCATGTGCAGAAGATCTCCAAGATCCTTCCCAATTCTCTCCTGTGTTCTCTGTTCTAATGTTATTTAAGACATTACAATATGTCATACAAATATCTTCACTTTTAAACGCAATTCTAACAAACATTGCTTTGGGACCCCATATGTAGAGATGGGTGGAAGATGGGCTTTTAGGAATGCAATCTCGAAGTAAAAGTTACTCTGTTAGATTACACGAACTGGGGAGATGGGAATGAGATGAATATGGAAAAAAGGACTGAGCAGGTTGGAAACAGAATGAACATGGTGAGTATCTACTTGGAAATACAGCAGTTTATTTCAAATATGAGCTTTAAGTATTTGTCTGGTAGAAAAATGAAACTAAAATCCTGAATGGTTTGATTATAATGAATGACAGAAATAGTGAAGGTGTACCAGTCTGAGGTAATGATTGGGGTGCTGGCTAGCAGCCAAGACATTGAGTTGTAGTCCTGCTGTAGGCATGAAAGCTAGCTGGGTGTCTTTGCCCCAGTCACTCTCAGAAAAACTGACCTCACAGAGTTGTGGTTGTAGGGAAAAAGAGGAGGAAGGAGTATTAGGCATATCCACCGACTAAATTTCTTATAAAATAATAAAGATGGGATAAAAACAAATAGCAAGAGATTTTGAATGTGGGATAAACTCTTTTAGCAGAGTCAAAAAATGAGTCTTGGGAGAAGAGATACAGAAGCAAAAAACAAGGTGAAAGCAGAATGACTGCAGAAAGGGAAAGCAAGAATTTTATTTCTGAAAGTATTGATTACGTCGGAGATAACAAGGCCGAGCCCAAGAGAGGGGACAAATGTGTCATCGGTCATGAGTCTCTGTGCACCCACAAGAGATCTAAGTCCAGCCCACCTTGAGTTCCTTTCTATTCTTAACTCCCACAAATTTCCCCTGACCATTAGCAGCTCAGATTCTTATAGAGAGCTCAGTCTTGCAATAAATCTTTGTACTCATCTGAACTGCCTGCATTTCCTGATTTCCCCATCGCTTGACAGATTAGTTCCTAACAAATACATGGAAAGTAGATGTAGAAGCTGCCTGGAAGATAATAAAAGGCAAATGAATTGTGCTAAAAAAAAAGCCACCGAAGTGCATGAAGTTCTGCTAATAAGAATGAATGAATATAATAATAATAATAATAATAATAATAATAATAATAATAATAATAATAATAATAATAATAATAATAATAAAAGTTGGAAGGGACCTTGGAGGTCATCGAGTCCAGGAAAGGCAGGAAACTCTATACCATTTCGGACAGATGGCTGTCCAGTCTCTTCTTAAAAACTTCCATTGTTGGAGCATTCACTGCTTCTGGAGGCAGGTTGTTCCACTGCTTAATTGTTCTAAATGTCAGGGAGTTTCTCCTTAGTTCTGGGTTGCTTCTCTCCTTGATTAGTTTCCACCCGTTGCTTCTTGTCCTGCCCTCAGGTGCTTTGGAGAATAGCTTGACTCCCTCTTCTTTGTGGCAGCCCCTGAGATATTGGAACACTGCTATCATGTCCTCCCTCGTCCTTCTCTTCATTAAACTAGACATAGCCAATTCCAGCAGCTGTTCCTTATATGCTTTAGCCTCCGGTCCCCTAATCATCTTTGTTGCTCTTCTCTGTACTCTTTCTAGAGTCTCAACATCTTTTTTACATTGTGGTGACCAAAACTGGATGCAATATTCCAAGTGTGGCCTTACCAAGGCATTGTAAAGCGGTATTAATACTTCACATGATCTTGATTCTATCCCTCTGTTAATGCAGCCCAGCACTGAGTTGGCTTTTTTGGCAGCTACAGTACACTGCTGGGTCATATTTAAGTGATTGTCCACTAGGATTCCGAGATCCCTCTCACAGTTACTACTCTTGAACAAGGTACCCCCTATACTATACCTGTGCATTTGTTTTTCTTGCCTAAATGTAGAACCTTTTTTCACCATTGAATTTCATTTTGTTAGATAGCGCCCAGTGTTCAAGTCTGTCCAGATCCTTCTGTATCTTAAGCCTATCTTCTGGAGTGTTGGCTATTCCTGCCAGCTTGGTGTCATCCGCAAATTTGATGAGTTCCCCATCTATCCCCTCGTCCAGATCGTTGATGAAGGACATTTGGTGGAATTATGAAATGGAAGAAGCCATGGATGAGGGGAAAACAATGAAAGAGAATATTGCAGAGAGAGAGAGAGAGAGAGAGAGAGAGAGAGAGAGAGAGAGAGAGAGAGAGAGAGAGAGAGAGAGAGAGAGAAAGAGAGAGAGAGAGCGCAACTAACATGCAGGAAGAAAATTAATTGAAAGAATGAGTAAAAGGAAGCAAGAAATAGTAACAAAAGAGGAAGAGAAAAAGCAGAGCAATTTTGATTGAAATAAAATTATTTTGGGATAAAAAAAGCTAAACGGTGATGCTGCAGCAGAATAAATGGAATCAGTAAAGGATGAAAAAATTGAGGATGAAGCTGAGATGTTGGAATACTGGATTGGGTAGTCAAGGAAACAAATGCAACTGTATATCACAGAGTACAATTGAAATGAATGAAAAAATTGAGGAGGAAGCTGAGATGTTGGAATATTGGATTGGGTAGTCAAGGAAACAAATGCAACTGTATATCACAGAGTACAATTGAAATGAATAACGTGGGGGGGGGAGGATGAAAAGTCATAAATGCTGTGTAAATGTTGAAAAATGTTAAGGCTGCAGATGTAGACAGTGTAGTTGGGGAAATGTTAATTATGGATGTGGTTTGCTTATAGAGTGAGTGCAACTTTTTAACACATAGACATAGAGCATGCCTGACGATTGGAAGAATGTTTTTATCCTATTAAATAAGGGATTCAAGAAGTATTGGGGGCAGCAGTTCTGAATGAAAGGGAATAAGAGGTGACAATGAGTAACATTTGGGAAGTGCACTTGGCTTTATGTTAGGCAGAGATTATATAGGCTAGGTTTTTTTTAACCTTTTACTGGTAATTGAAAAAGTTGATTCATCTTTCTTAATTTAGCAAAAACATAAATACTAATGGGTTTGAATTATGGGTCATTTTTGACAGTTACAAACTTGAATTGTTAGTTGTCAAATACTGTAATAGTAAAGACATGCACAAGAATAAATGGAATATACCTTGAAGCCTATATTATCCCTGGATTTAGTACATACCGTATTTATGGATATATGCACCAATGTTTTTGATAATGTTGTAATTGTGAACATTGATGTGCATCTTGTATGTCCAGATGATGCCAGTTTGTTGCCTGAGCAGTGAAACCATCTGCAGTGAATGATAGCTTATATAATACAACAGGATGGAGCTGAGTACCAGGTATCAAAAGGTCAAGGTAGTTTCAGTTCACAGGATTAGAAGCAGGAGACAATGAAATAAGCAAAGAAAACGCTAGAATTCCACAGCCTTCCTATGTACGTATAAATCTTTCAACGCAATAGGTCAGGGGCCTTCAAACTTGGCCCTTTTATGACTTGTGGACTTCAACTCCCAGAATTCCTCACCCAGGTACGCTGGCTGAGGAATTCTGGGAGTTGAAGTTCACAAGTCATAAAAGGGCCAAGTTTGAAGACTCCTGCAATAGGTTGAAATTATTCACCGGCAAACAGGTTACCCTTCTAATTCCCGGGAAAGCCAGCTGATGCCCCACGTTTCGGCTGAACCCAAAGCCACGTAGGACCATGGACACGCTAGATAGGTTACAGGGGGCGAGGATCAGGGCTTGAAGGTGTGACTGCCGCTGATCCGGTGCCCCACCAACGGTAGATGAAGTCTCCGGTCGTCCGAAACGGGCGCAATTTCAAGGACCGAGACCCTGGCCCCAGCCGCCGAGCAAACTGCAGCACTCGCAACAGTCTTCGAAAAAGGCGCAATGAGTTGGATCGCCCCGTTGCTGGTGCACAACTTCTCATTCCTCTCCTCCTCCTCCTCCTCCGGCCCGCTCTTGCACGCCGCCGCTTCAGCCTTTCCTGTTTACGGTTGCTGTAGCTACAGAAGAGCCTCTCGGCGTCTTAAACTTCCTTCTTTTTAGCCGTTTCGCTCAAGCTCAGAGTAATTTGGTTCCCTCGCATACAAATCCTAAAGAAGCCACGGGGAAGGACGGTAAAAAGCGTGTTGCACGGGTGTGTATGATATTTGCAGGGTTTTTTTTCCTTCTCTGCCACGTTTCTCCAACCCCCCCCCCTCCACACCACAGACACACTTTTGAAGAGCTCGTTAATACATCCCCTTTTTACTCTAGTCGATCCAGAGGATGAGCGCAGAAGAATGACTACGAACAGGATGAGCGCAGTGGCTGGAGATAACAGGGTCACCTAGTTTTTCTCACTCTGATCCAAAGCTGATGGTTCCTGTTAATCGGGTGTATTCATATTCCAAATGATAAATCTTGTTCAAACTAAATGCTAAAACGAAACAATTATCTTGCGGCTTTTTGGATTGATGGCTCACACTTTCAGAGACTACGAGAAAGTTGGCTTTTGAATTTGGAAACCACCCATCTGTTTCAGCTGAACTCCTAAATTGTAGTGCATGCTTAGACCAGGGCTGCAAATAAAGCTGTCTTTGATTGGCAGGTAGAGAAGAACTTGTGGGGTACTGCAGTGGTTTATAATCTATGAACACTTTGCCCCCTAACAACAACTGTTTGCTCAGTGTGTAGACCCACAGTTTCCAGAGAAGTTTGCTTGCTTTGTAGAAATGCATTTCCAGATAGCAGCCTGAGGGAATGACCCTCATGTCTGCATATTTCAGAGAAGTCTTCTATGGCTCTGAGATGCTTATGAATAATACTGTGGAAAAAATGTTATTTTAATCCTCATACAAACAGCTTATTTATTGAAAGTAATAACATAACTCCTTTGGGGTGGTTTTCTTTTTCATCAGTTGATTTCTGTTTCATTATTTGATGCTTTGCTTTATTGTGCTGTCATCATTAGTTTTCATGTTTTATTGATTATATATCATAATTTCTTTCTTTGATTATTGAAGGCCACTCAGAATTGTTGAGAGTCTTCAAAAGTGCTTCAAAAAGTGACGACTTCAGAATAATTCCCTTGATCTTGGCGAGATGGGTGGCATAAAAATCTCAAGTCTACTGATTATCTATTCCTAACAAATGTTTTGAGAAATGTGAAATGCAAACTGATAGATTGGAGAATAAAAAATGTCCATTTCCCTGCATTTCAAAAGACTCCTTGGGGAAAGTATTACCTCCTGGAACAAGTGACCCAGAAAGAGCAACTATCATGAGGAAATAGCACTGGTGGCCTTTTTATTAAACAGTTTATACTCAATAATTCTGACAATAGTTGTGTGCTGGGAGGAGAAGTTGCTATACCTGAGGATCTAGGTCATGCTTCACTCTTTCTGGCTATCGAGCCTTTCAGAAATTTGGTCAGCTGCATTTTCCCTCAACTTTCTATGCCACCAACTGCAGCTGGACTTCTTCCTGTTGTGAAACTTGGGAAATTCCAATTCTGCTGCTGCAGTTTCCCTCTTGAGAACTCAAGAAGCCATATATCTCAAGGAACAGGTAAAATTCTTCTCTGTCTAAAGTAAGTTACATTTATTATCACTCAGTTACTGGAGCAAGATGGGAATGGTATAACAGTGTAGACCAGGGGTGTGAAACTCAATTTCACTGAGGGCCGCATCAGCATTGTGGTTGCCCTGGGGTGGATGTGTGTGGCCAGAGTGGGTGCAGCCTACTGGGTGGGTGTAGATGGAGTGGGTGTGGCCTACTGGGTGGGCGTGGCCAGTTCTACATCGTTCACGTTAAGGGTGCCTATGGGGGCTTGGACAGGAGTGGGACAGATCTGAGGGTCTCTGACAGAAGGGGGTGGGACTGGGGCAAGTGCCAAGGCCAGGTCCACTGGGGCAAGTGCCAAGATGGCCACCACAAAATTGTACATTGGCTCCTGGCTGGCCTGGGCCAGGGCCAAGGCAGTGGGGGCCGTTCCCTCATTGTTTCCAGGATGGCTTCGCGGGCCACATGAAACTACTTCGCTGGCCGCATCTGGCCCCCGGGCCTTGTGTTTGACATGTCTGGTGTAGACCTAAACAAGAAGGTATTTCTGTATTTTTAATTATTTATTTGCTTTTGGGTTTTTGGTCTATGTGTAAACTTTCATTTTCTTGAAAAATGTTATTAATTACAGATACTCAAGCAAAATGTTGAGTGGGTACGTGCACATTTTTCTGTAGTTTTTTTTTAAAAAACTATATATTTTCCTGCCTGGAAGAGAAGGGTTGTCAAAAAAGTTAATGAACTTTTTTATGCCCCAACAATGCCCCTGTTTTCTTAGGTTTTTAGGACAGCTGAGGAGGGAAGTCTCAGGGTTCCAGGGGAAAAAAGTAGATGTTCAAGGATTTGTGGACAGTTCCTGCTAGAAAATCGCGCCCTTGTGAAGCAGCATTTTAATTTTGAATTCAAAGATGCCTTTTTTTCCATATGCAGAAAATTTCTATTAGCTGAGAACAACAGCAGACTACTAAAGAGGAGATTTCTAGTCCTAACACCACAATCCTGAAGCCTTTCATTTCAAAATTTATTTTTATTGCTTTTAAAAAAACGCAAAAAGAAAAAGATAAAACACAAAGATAATTATAATGCAAATGCATACAAAACCTATGCATAAAAAAGCACTTCAAAAATAAAGATACAACAAAAAAATAAAATGTAGATCATTTTGGCAATTAAGAGTGGCAATTCTATATGCACATTTATGTAATATAAATATTATTCAAGTACAGGCTCCCAAAACTGAGAAAGACATGCAGTGTCTTTCACTTCTGTTGAAGGAAAAGTCTTCATCATGGTTCAGTCCAAGCTGGGAATAAACAACATGGCGACTTTAGAAAGAAGGTTGCAGTTTATTGAAGAGGAGAGCCAGACAGGAAGATGGCTCTGGAAGAAAATAGAGCACGTGTAGGGAGTGGGTTTTTATATCCTCTTGCACTTTTGTTTGGAGTAGTTTCCTGTTACTATTTGAGGCTTTGTATTTCCTGTGTCATGTACTTTTGGCCTGAGTCTGAGTGTGCCCCTTTGGTATCTGTGGGTTACTCCCATTATGTCCTGCCTTAGAGTTTGGGTGGGGTATGTAAATTTTAGGTGTCTTTATCTTCCTAAGCTTCTAGCTGGGGGCCTCCAACCTTCCTGGATTATTTACATGTGCATTTCTACAGAGCTGGTTTCTGCTTGGGGGAGGAAGACCTGGGGCTATTAAGAAAAAAATGGGCATGTTTTTCTGCCTTTTTTAGATCCTTTGAGAAAATATAATATTCTGCCCTTTTAATATTTCCTTCTCTGGGAGGGCTGACTTCCCACACTTCTTTAGAAGAATATAAGTGAGTCCCCAGAAACAGAATAAACAGATACAAGGATTGAGTGTATCTCAGAATATTTCTGGCACACTCAGCTACCAGGGTCCCTCTGTGGCTTGTAGCCAAAGTTGATAAAAAGTTGTAGTAAGGGTGTTGAACAACATATCCTATCAAGCAATCTGCTGATTTATAGTATATACTTGAGTAGGGCCTGCATTAATGCTAAATAAAACCTCAAGATTGGAGCCAATCATGTAGTTAAATCCAGTTTTCCCCATGTATAACTTCTGTAAATTGGAAAGATCCCAAATGCATTCAGAATATTACCACAGCTATTTCTGGTTATTTTATTTTTAGTGTGAATATTTTATATACATATAGAAACCAACATGGACTCATTACCTCAGAGCTATGAGACCAACAAAGAAAATGCTTCTAGATATATTCTTGAAGAACAGAAAAATGGTGAAATCAGAGGTAAGCAAGTAATATTTTATACGAGGGCAATTCGGAAATAAACCTCCGTTTGGTTATCAATGACAGACACTTGCAGATACAGAATTTTATATACACATTAGAAAACTACAACATTACATTACTTTTTGACACAATCACCATTCAAATTGAGGCACTTGTGATAATGTCTTACAAGATTTGAAATTCCTTAGCAGTAGTCGCTCTGCGCCAGTAAAGCAAATAATGGGTTCCATTTTGTGGAAATCTTTATGCAATAGCAAAATCTGTGAATTGTTTTGGATGATTGTGAGCGCTCTCTTAAATGGTACATGGTTTTTGCCTAAGGCAGGGGTCTCCAAACTTGGCCCTTTATGACTTGTGGACTTTAACTCCCAGAATTTCTCAGCCAGCCATGTTGGTTGAGGAATTCTGGGAGTTGAAGTCCACAAGTCATAAAAGGGCCAAGTTTGAAGACCCCTGGCCTAAGGCATTTAACCAGAGCAGAGGAAGCACAGAACCCAAGTTGGACAATTGCTCTTTTGAGCATCATTCACATGTCAAAGAGGGAGAGGGAGTCTCCCTGGATGTCAACCTTGTCATTCATCTGTAACTGTTCCCATCAGAATAGGTGCTGATGCTAGAACTTCCTGCTTAATTGAATCTTTGCAATTACTAAAGGAAAGAAAGTTGGACTTGACATATACAACATGGAAAATGAGTAAGAAAGGTTTTTATTTAGCCTTCCCCCCCTTTTAAAGTCATGCAACATAATTGCATTCTTTCCACCGCCACCTCTTTATAAAAACCAACTTACATCTTGCACTTTTTGCTTCTTTATTGAAGAATTTTGGTCTGAATGCTTGCCAAGTATTACAGAAGAAAGGGAAGAACAATCAATTGAGGCGAACATTCCTTTGTCTCCCTCAGGATTAGGGACAAATGTGAAGACTCAAATTGTAGATGACAGGTGAGAGCTTATGCGCAAATTTTCTTAGGCACAGGTATAAAATGAAGCTATGTTTTAGAATGTGTTATGCATGCTCTTGTCAAAGAAAAAGATGAAGAAGTTGTCCTTTAAGAGTTAGGAGGCATGCCTGTTATCTTTATAACTGTTGTACGTAGAGTTGGCATAATTGCATCTAAAGCATGCAAATAATTTTATGTTAAATGTTTATAAAAGTATAACACTATAGATCAGACATGTCAAACACAAGGCTCAGGGACCGGATGCGGCCTGAGAAGTGGTTTCATGTGGCCCGCGAAGCCATCCTGGAAACAGTGAGGGAACGGCCCCCGCTGCCTTGGCCCAGGCTGGCTGGGAGCCAATGTACAATTTTGTGATGGCCATCTAAGCTGAAACGCATTCAGTCTTAGCTTTACAAGGTCATCCAGAAACAGTGAGGAACCAGCCCCTGGTGTGTCGGGGCCGCCCCCTGGGTGCATGCTGGGGAGGTGTCACCCTTTGTGAGGAATGAAGAAATGGACCATGCCTTGGCACTTGCCCCGGTCCCACCCCCTTCTGCCAGAGACCCTCAGATCTGTCCCACTTCTACCCAGGCCCCCACAGGCACCCTTGACGCAAACGATGTAGAGCTGGCCATGCCCACCCAATAGGCCACACCCACTCCAACCATGCCCACCCAGTATGTCACACCCACCCTGGCCACACCCACATGGCCCCCAAGGGCAACCACAATGCTGATGCAGCCCTCAATGAGATTGAGTTTGACACCCTTGCTATAGGTTATTCAAGTGCAGGCCTAATATAGCACTCTTGCCCTGTTATGCCTGACAACTGGTTATATGCCACTCAGAGTCACTTTGTGGGAGATGGGTGGTCATATAAAATATACTAGATTAATTAATTAATCTAGTAAACAAAATAAGCTTACTTCCTGAAGGTTTCTATAAAACATGAGTGGGGAATGTCTTGTCTATAGGCATAATTTGGTCTACTAGATGAGCTCATTTATTCCCTGAGACCTTTTTGGATCTCCTTTCTGGAAATGGGAGAAGATGGCAATTGCACTTAGACTTATATATCATTTCACAGTACTCTACAGTCCTCTCTAAGCAGTTTTACAGAGTCAGCATATTTCCCCCAACAATCTGGGTCCTCATTTTACCGACCCCAGAAGGATGGAAGGCTGAGTCAACCTTGAGCCAGTAAGAATTGAACTGCCAAACTGCAGTCAGCAGAAGTAGCCAGCAGTATTGCATTCTAACCACTGCGCCACTACTCATGCCATCTGCGTCAAGATGGCAGAGAAGAGCATAACATTCCTGCAGTTAATTGGAAATCAGCAAATTGCCCATTCATTTTGTGCAGATATGCTTTGTTATTCCTGTCCTAGATCAGTCAGACCTGGAGTTGGCAAAAGACAGAAAAACATGGAAAAGTCCATTGAAGAACTGAAAGTAGATTCTCCAAGAATTGAGATCCAATACCAGGTACCATCAGCTAGGTGGGAAAAAAATGCTGTGGAGAATTTAATAATGGAAAATGAATTGTTTTTTTTTTAATTGTTATAGACCAAATACTGTTTACTTTACCAAAACATCTTGTATCTTGCTGCTGAATAAATAATACTTCTCCTGCTTAGTGACCATCTGTACTACTATAAAACATTTTATTTATTTAATTTATATGCCACCCATCTTACTATCCGAAGTGACGTGCATCTCCTATTATACAGGAGGGACTTAATGGATCCCTCAAATTAATGTCTTTGGGTGACAAGGAAAGAAGGGGAAATGATCTCTCTATAGAATGTCAAGCATATTGATCAAAACAGAAGAAAAATATAGTGGGACTTCAGCTGAAAATCAACAGAGATAGAAAAAAATGAAGAATTATTTTGTTGGATATTAAATAGCAAACATGGAAATGGATGAAAAGAACTAAACAAGGAGCTGTTGGCTGAGTGGATGGGATTAAAAATAAAAGCACTGAATTCCAGAAGGATTATTTGATAAATATGTAAAGGAGTAGCACTGTTATGAAGAATATACAATGGAAACAAATGCTAGTGTCAAAGAAAAAAGGATGGTAAATACGGTGAGAATGATGAAAAATTGTGAGACTTTAGGTACAGATGGTGTAATGTTGACACACACACATGTGATTTAATTATGGAGTGATGGTGTGAAGTTTATATATAAATATACAGCAGTAAAAGTAGTAAGAATGAATGCAAACAACAACAAAAAAAAACCCCAAGGGGATAAAACAAGTAAGGATGTCTGAAAAAGGCAAACTTTAAAGGTTTTAAGTGGAGGCAATTAGCAAAATCTGGGAAATGCAGTGAGACTTTATTCCATGTGGGCAATGTGCCAGCCAGATGCTTATTCTTCAGAATTTCATTGAGAAATTTATGAATATGAGAAAAATAGTGAAGGGTGTGTAGGCCTGAAGTTGCGGGCAAATGTTAGATTGCAAGAGGCAACAAGAAGCGTGGATCTGAAAATCATAAGTATCTAAGATTAAGATTTGACTCTTTGTAAGATGTCTACTAATGATAGGATAATCACTAGGAACATTTTAAGACAGGTAAATGCTGGTAGCAAGGTGGCACATGGTCTGCTGTAAGGAATGATTCCTGAGAGAGCTGAAAATAGTAGCCTAGAAGTAGCATACTTTGGTATATGGAAATAAATGTTGAGTATGAGAGGAGAAATATTTTAAAAACAAGCTGATGCTTTCTAAATGGGGTACATAAGACATATGCAGTAAAACAAAGGCTCAAGAATGAATGGCTGCTAAAAGAACGTGGATTGAATAAAAGTGCATGGTTAGTATGAAAGAAGTATGCTCAGATAATTTGATCATATAGTCGGAATGAATATGAATCAAATTACAGAAGAAAAAGCGAATGGGGCTAGAGAAAGGGGAAAAAATGGAAAAAGTCATATGGATGGCACTGATGAGATCCCAAAAAAAAAAAAAGAAGAAGAAGAAGAAGAAGAAGAAGAAGAAGAAGAAGAAGAAGAAGAAGAAGAAGAAGAAGAAGAAGAAGAAGAAGAAGAAGAAGAAGAAGAAGAGGTGAGACGTTCAAAGAACAGAATCAGTGGATGAGTATGATGGAAGCAAGAATGGTTTGCCAAGATGGAAAAGTATGGAAAGACATGAATGTTCTTAGTTAGCTCAGATTTAGCTAAATTTCTGTTTCCTTTCTACTCTCATACCTTTAATTTCTTTGATTTAATGTTTGTTACTCCATTTTCTGTTATTTGCTTTATGCTGGTTATTCAGAAAGAGACCACATGATGTGTGTACATGTTTGTCATTTGCTTTCAGAGATGAAAATAAGAAAGGGAAAAATATTTGGGCATTGAATAGCCACCTATATCTAGAAATAAAGTTTTAGATGCAAAACATAAATGAATAAATGAAAAGGAGATGAGCTGTTCATTCTGGAATCAGATTTTCTCTCTTTAAGATTGCATGTTTTAATAATGATAAGTACTAGCTAAAATGTTGGCTTATCTATCATTACATTATTTATATTGCTATATTACTTGCAGAATTCAAGTGAGGCAGAGATTACGGATCCAAACTCATTTCTGGAATATCCAGAATGCATTGTAAAGCATGGAACTAATAGAGAAAGTCTTACCAAGAGCCCTACCAAACTACTCGGAAGAGTCAGCTTTGACCACCATAATCTCTCATCTCCTGATCAATGGAAAATAGGAAAACAACTGGGAAAATGCCTGCGATTAGAAAGGAAGGTTATGTTCCCAGATGATAAAAGTACAAATTGTTTTATTTCCAATGAGGTTGTAAAATGTCAGTATAATAAATATGAACCAAGGTCAGAAAGCAGAAAAGAAAGTAACCCTGATTATGATGATGAAGAGATGGTAAGTGAAAAAGAATCTGAACTACCATTTAATTGGTCCAAAAGTTCACAGCAGTGGCATGAACAACTAAGTGAAGTTAAGGCACAAGTGGATGAAAAAAATGACTCTTCGTCTCCTAGTTCCAAAGAACATTCTGGTATAGTTTTCGGTGGATCCACCATTTCTAAGATTCCAGTATGGCTTATGGAAGATTTAGATGGTGATGTATCACAGGTAACAGGAAATTCAAGGAATCCTTCACTAGATGTTTCTGACTTTCAGAACATAGAATGGAAACAGCCTAATCCAGAGGACCAGAGTTCCAAATTCCAGATTATTCAATGTACACAAAGGATTGGGCAGTGCAAAAATAAATGTTATGTTGAAACAGATGAATGTTCAGATACCAAATTAGAAAGGAACCCTGGATTTAAGAAAATCAATGATCAAATCATAAATGTTACAACGAAGCCAGAGATAAATCAAGGGATGACACCTGCTAAATCACAAATGAAGCACCACGACAATGCAAATGCTGGGAAGAGATGGAATGGAAAGTCCCCTTCGAGTGATTCATTTTGCATATCTACTGACAATGATTTGCTTTGTCCGCCCTGTCTCACAAGATGTGGGCTCCATAGAACATCCAAGGATGGGGAACTCTCTGATGGCGATTATGCCACAGATGAGCCCAGTGAAGCTGAAGACTATGTCTTAAAAAGCTGTGGAAAATTGTTCCCCAAGAAACCCAGTGCTCAGGAACTCATGAGCCAAAAGGAAACCCCGCAGACCACAAGCAGCAGTAGCAGTGAATCCAGTCTCAGAGAGGGCTGCTTGAAATATGAAAAGCCTTTCTCTTCCCGTATGGCGTCTCCTTTTCATCCCCAGGAAGCCACAAGAGACCAAAGAGAACCTGAAATACTGATCAAGAGTATTGCAAGCAGTTACGGCGGAGAACTAAATTGGCAGGCGCTTTCTCTGAGAAATGATCTTGTGGCTCGCCTCTTCCCTGTTTTCAAGAGCAAAGCAAATCCAGAACATAAGAAAGGTACTCAAGGTAATTTGAAAAAGATATACTCTATAATACAGTCATCCTATAGGATGCAGGCTGAGGAATTCTGGGAGCTGAAGTCCACTCAGAACAAAGTTGCTGAGGTTGCTTTATACTGAGGTTTAATGTTGGTAGAAGGTTATTAAACTAGGCTGCCACCATTCAGGCAGAGCTTCCTAACATAACCTCCTCTAATCGATGAGCCGAGGTGGCGCAGCAGTTAGAGGGCAGTACTGCAGGCCACTTTAGCTGACTGTGTTCAGCAGGTCAGCGGTTCAAATCTCACCGGCTCAAGGTTGACTCAGCCTTCCATCCTTCCGAGGTAGGTAAAATAAGGACCCAGATTGTTGGGGGCAATGTAATATATATATATACATTGCTTACTGGTGTACACCGCTTAGAGAGTGCTTGCACTTAAAGCGGTATATAAGTCTCATAAATAAATAAATAAATAATCTGTGAGACTGGGAAGCTTCTTTCTGAAGAACCTTTACCTTCAGTTTAGCTTTAGGAAAGCTGGGGTGGGGGTAAGTGAACTTTGAATCTTCTTGTCCCAAAGAACCAGAGTACAGAGGACAGAACTTAGAACAGGGCTTTTCAACCTTTTCACCGATTGTATCACTTTTAGGATATGGCAATGTTTAAGTACAACCTGGCAAGGTGTCAAAAACTTGATGACCCCCCCCCCCCAAAACCAGTTCAAAGTTGCAATTGCACTGAAATGACTTATGACCATTTTTCACACTTATGACCATTGCAGCATGCCCAGGGTCATGTGATTTATATTTGGATGCTTGGCAACTGATTCATATTTATGGTGGTCACAGTGTCCCAGGGTCATGTGATCCCCTTTTGCAACCTTTTGACAAGCAAAGTCGATGGCAGGGCTACTGGTGGCCTAGTGCTAAGGCGGGACTTCCCTCCCTCCCTCTCTCTCTTTCTCATTCCCACCTCCTTCTGAAGGAAGAATTTGAAACCCCTCCCCCCATATTTTCTCTCTTCCATATATTCATCAAACAAGGAAAAGCCTCCAGAGACAGAAAAGACAAACTGCTGAGCGAATTAGCTTAAAAAGGCACATTCCCCTTTAAGAATTAGCTAATGGCTAGAAAGGAAACTTGAGTGCAGCTGGCACTTAAGGAAGAAAAAAAATGTAGTAAGTATTGGCTGCTGGCTAAGGCAGCCTCCCCAAATGGCTCCATTCATAAGTAAAGGAATGCTACAGGCAAAATCCATTCAGGAGAAAAATACTTCAAAATCCCTTGCAGCAAAGCTTACAGCTAACAATAGCAGAGCAATAGAAGCTAACAGGAGATAATCAGCCATCAGCCAAATAGAAATTGCCAAACACTCCTTAAGAACACAAAGCCCACATTGCACAAATCCCAGAACTTCAAAGTCACAAAAGCACATAAGAATTCTTCGACTCTCCATCTCCCTCCCTCCCTCATGCCTCACCTCCAGCCATTGCTGCCTTTTTTCATTCCTCTTGGAGGGCAACTCCTCCCCCACTGCATTTCTTGCCTATTTGCTGCTGCCAGCACAGGTGGCTGCCACAGCAGTTGTAGATCAGCTCATGGCCGGCCTGCTTAATCTCCTCTCCTCTTCCCCCACCACCCTCCTCCTTCTTTCCCTTCAGTGTAGCTAGAGCTGACTCCGACTCTTCCCAAGGTTGCTGCTTTTTTCTCTCTCTCCCTCTCCCGCCCAAATTGCCTCCTTTTATGGCAGACATGTCAAACTCACAACGTCACGTGATGTCGTGAGACGTATCAGGACTATTTTACCATTGCCGGCAATGGGGTGGACGTGGCTCCAGTATGATGAAACCAGCCCGCGGGCTGGCAGTTTGATACTCCTGTTTTATAGCCTCTCCTGTCTCCATCCCCTCCTCCTCCTTTCTCATGTGGGAGGGTGAGCCAGAAGTGAGCCTGGGGTCTTTGCCTCGACCCAGCCACTCTGCAGCTCCAGAGGACTCTTTCACAGGAAGTCCTTGCCTGTGCTGGCTCTTTCCCTCCCCCAGTACACTTGGCTAGGCAGGGCTGTGTACCACCTGCCACTTGTTAATGTACTACAAGTGGTACGCGTACCACTGGTTAAAAGTCCTGACTTAGAAGATCTTAGGCCAGTCCCATATTCACAAGAGGGTAGCTTTGGGTCTGTACAGGCTTGCATGTGAGAAGGGTTTTAATGAAAAATTCCAGTGTTTAGTCTCTGAATGAAGACACGAAGCCAAATTTCTTGGTATAAAAAGGAGTTTATTAGGCATAAAAGGAAAGAAGGAAAAATCAGCACAAGATTTCCAATAAATCAGTTAGATTAACTTAACTGGTTACACATTCTTTCCTTGAATAAGAGGTTTCAGCACATGTTCAGAGTTCATTGCAGAAGATAAAGTTGGAGATCATCTGGGCCTTCTGATTGGATGTTACCAGGGAGGTTCTCCTTGCTGTTACTTTTTTCTTGTGCATTATTCTTATCTTCCTTATAGAAGGTAGGGAGGAATTAAAGGCTAGACTTTTTGGAGAGGCAACCTGTAACTTTGCCCAGTAAATGCACCAACTCTGATGAGTCTAGTCTAGTAGCTAAACTTGATGATCCTTAAAGCAGAGATTAAACTATATATTCTGATTTTTATCAAGAAAATCAGAGAGGACTTTTAAAATAAATAAATAAACAGGAGCTGAATTCCATCTGCTTAGAGCTTCCAGCATAATACAATTCATTGTGTCATACCACAGGATAGGGATTTGTTGTAGATGGTTTATAATTGTTTGAGATGCAGCTCTGGATGCACTAATTCTTTGTATCTTTTATTCTATTAACCAATAAGGACAAGAGGAGAGATAAAAAGATAATTCTCTTGGTTTCTCTCTTTGTCTTTTCTTTTCTTTGTATAATTAAATTGTTTCCTACGGAAAAAAAATAGTTACCTCCATCCTCTTTTCTCCCCACTATTAGTGAGGGGAGGATGCTCAGAGAGTGTCCTTCTGTCTAAGCATATAACCTCCTTAATAAAATGAATTAAACTTTTCAGAGTTTAAGCACTGGATATTTTTGTTGATTTTCACTGAACTTGGTACTTCTCACCTATACTCTGTTAGATAAAGGTCTATTGAATGATCTAGAGGATTAAGGTTAAGTTAACATGTTCCCTTCAATTTTAAAAAGGCTATGATAGGAAGAACCATCAAAATAGCATTTAGATGACCATTCCTCTAAAAGTTGATTCAAAATTGGGTGACTTTCATTGAAAGTGGGAGTGGGAAATTAAGGGGAAGATAAATTGATTATGCATATGCAGTTTACATATGATACCAATTACAAATATCTTACCAATTAAAATTTATAATGTTTTAAAAATACACTGTGTTTGTTGAAACCTTTTCTGGAATTCCCTGAAAGTCTTTGATTGTGAGAGTTTGACGATTTCTTGCTTAGTGGTTTTTAAAATCATGATGGAATTTGATGAGAAATTCATTTTCATGGCATGGTCCCATGAATAAGGTGAACACTAGATGGCAGTAAAGAGACACAGAAATCTAGTTGCCATCCCCCTCTTTTTTTGGCAGCCTAATTCTGACATTCCTAATACTGATACAACTTGCCAGTACCAATGAAAGTGTCTGCACATCCCAAATACAACTTCAGTTCTGCTTTATAGAATGTAATCACCTGCTCTGTAACTAATGATTAATGGGCTCTACCTAAGAGGTTTGTTTTGGAACCCAGAGAGTTTTTATTTCACCCCTGCTGCCAGTTGAATCCATAAATCACATGTGAGCTTAATATGTTATATGTACTGAACTGGAATTTCAGTTTTTTTCCCCATGTAATATCTTTTGGTCATTCTGATCCCTTGTTTCTTAACTTCTCAACTTTAACAGGTGTGGATTTCAATTCCCAAAATTCCCCAGCTAGCATGGGGAATGAAAAGGGTTTCATGATACTTCCATAACCTTACTTGACTATCTTGTTAATACACAGTAATAGCGGTATAATGACAAGAATTTCTTTCTAGAGCAAGCTCCAAAGAGGCAAATAGCCAAGCCAGAAGAACAGAAATGGGAGGATCCTGTCAGCCACAGAGAAACCTCTCTGTTAGCTCAAATGAAAGATGAGCAAACAAAAGCAATGGATTTTCTCAGGTAAGGATATTTAGGATAAAAGTATAAATCTTCTCTCTCTCTCTCTCTCTCTCCCTCTCTCTCTCCCTCCCTCTCCCTCCCTCTCTCTCTCTCTCTCTCTCTCTCTCTCTCTCTCTATATATATATATATATATATATATATATATATATATATATACACATACATAAACTGTTTGTGTGTACCGTGTTTCCCTGAAAATAAGACCTATTCCTAAAATAAGCCCTAGCTTTCTTTTTATGCCTGTGCCTTATATAAACCCTACTCCCAAAATAAGCCCTAGTCAAGTCCCTACCCATTCCATCCCACCATCTGGTTGCATGAGGTGGGGCTAGTGCAGACATAAAAATCAAGCTAGGGTGGGGTTGAGGGTGGAGCTTCCCCATGCGCTCCACACCCGCTTACCTCAGGACCACCGAAGCCAGGCCTCCCGTGTCCTGACCCTTGCCTTGCCTCATGCAGCAGCACCAACAGTCCCATCCAGCAGGAGGCCACATGGCCGCGGCCAGCCCACTTCTTCAACCACTTGCCATTGATCGCACGCGTCACCCCTGGCCTCTGTTTTGCTGGCAGAGGCCTTTCCTGCCAGTGAAATGGAGGCCGGGGTGACGTACACGAGCAGCGGCAAGCAGCTGCAGAAGTGGGCTGGCGATGGCTATGCAGGCTCCTGCTGGATAGGGCTGTTGGTGCCGCTGTCATGAGGCAAGACAGTGGGAAAAGAAGACACCCCTGAAAATAAGCCCTAATGCCTCTTTTGGAGGAAAAAATATAAGACTGGGGGTATTATTTTTGGGGAAACGGGTATGTATATGTGTTTATATATGTGTGTGTATATACATGTGTGTATGTGTATATATATATGTGTGTGTGTATATCTATATATCTATACACACATGTATTTGCACCTTTATAAATTTATAAAAGAGATTGTCCAACCATTTGTCTGAAATCTCCTGCTTGAGTAGAAAGTTGGATTAGAAAACCTTTAAGGTCCCTTCCAACTCTTTTGTTCTGTTTTTCTGATACTAGTTCTAGCAAGGAAACAATAAAAATATACTGGTAAAAACAATGAGGAATAAGAGAAAAGGTTAAACATTGTACAATGTTCCACATTTGCACTCCTGACTGGAATCTCATCAGACCTATTTATAACTCTGAAATTAGTATTTAAAATATTTATCTGTTTGCCTGTTTGTTGTTAAGCAAATGGGTCAGATGGCAAGGGTTGAAAACAGTAGGCGTATTCTTAAGGGAGAATAATAGAAGAGTTTAATGTGAGATTAAGTATTTGAAATCTGAGTACACGTCCTTAGTAGAGAGAGATAAAGGCAGATATCTTTAAAATTAAACAATGAATAAGAAGAAACTGCTGGATTGGATTTCAGCTCCTGGATCGCAAAAATGCTATTTGAAGCCTAGTGAAATAGTTTTTAATCATTTCCTGAAAGTCAGCTAATCTAGAAAGATGAGTTAGAACAGACTGACAACTCCAAATATTGAGTAATTTCAGAATTATTGATTAGATTAGGCTGTGAACTGAGCATTTACAGCCTCCCATTTAGAGATCCAGCTATCCAGCAAGATCTGTAATTCAGAGACAGAAAACATTCTTGGCATTTAGGCTGTCCTTGGTTCACTTCTTGGTATTTCTACTTGAAAAACTCTGAAAGCAGTTGACGAGATCTTTATTTAGATCCCGCAAAGCCATTTCCAGTGTGCATAGATAGGGCTGGGTAAACCAAAGATTGGATTTACTAATTTCATACATTTCTTTTGTGATATACCAATCCCGAAATTTATCTGAGTTGTTGATCAAGGCCAAATTGTCCAAATTATTGTTTGTATCATTGATATGCAGCTTTGTCTCTGATGGAGGGGAATATTTGTAGATTAGGATTGAACTGTGGGTCCTTGATGTTCTCTGAGTTTGGTTGTTTTCTTGCAGCGTTTCGTTAAGTAGCATTTAGGTAACAAACTAAGTAATAACAACAGTGCCAGAAGGGAGTGAGGCTTGTTCTCATTTTATATACTAATGCAGTGGTTCTCAACCTTTTTAATGCCGCAACCCCGAATTGGTCATAAATTGAGGACTACTCAACCGGTCGTAAGTTGAGGACTACTCAACCGGTCGTAAATCGAGGACTACTCACCTGGTGCAGCACCGTTTGCAGAATGGGACTTTTGGCAGGCTCAGCAGGGCGGAGACAGCCTGGACAATTCCTATTGGCTTTTGAAAGCCAATAGAATTAGACTCTATTCAAGAGAGTCTATTCTATTGGCTTTCAAAAGCCAATAGAATAAAAGGGAGTAGCACAGCTAAGGAAAAGGGGAAAAAAATGGTGGACTGCGTTGTTTGGCAACCCCCGTGAAATGGTTGTTCGACCCCAAATGGGGTCCCGACCCATAATTTGAGAACCACTGTGCTAATGGCTTGCCCTTCAAGGTGGGTGGGAGTGATCTTGGTGGCTCCCTGATTAGGCTGTTGTTTATTGTTAGCTTGTTTGTCTGGCTTGATAGTTTCTTGATTGGGGTATTGTTTACTTCTTGATGGTGGCCTAGTGTTAATCTAGTGTTAATCTAATGTTAATCTGTGCTTATCTGGATGTTGGTTGCTAATGAGGAGGTGTTTGGGTCTTTTTGTTTCCTTTTTGGCTTTCAGTTGTATCTTTTGTAGATGTATTTTGTAAATGATTATGTGTAGATGTTGCTTATCTATATGTGCCTGTTGATGGTAGATTTGTCTGAGCTTTGGCTGTCTTTCTGTGCATACCTGATTACAATAGCAGTGAATGGTGATTTAAATGTTCTTCTTGGAACTTTTTTGTTTAAATCAAAGGGGATCTGATAGTTGTCTGGTATTTGCTCTTATGTCTTTTTTTTCCTTGTATTTTATTTTGCATGGATGATAAAGCTTCTGGGGAAGTCCCTGGCATTGCTGACCCAGTTTATTCAGGTTCCAGCCATCCACAATTAAATGGAGGAGGCAAGGGGAGCCATTGTTGAATGCTTGTCTTCTTCATCATATCATGTGTTTTTTTCCCAGCAGAAGACAAATCAGCCAGTATGATGCTGTCAAGACTCACTCATCACATCTCCTGGAAGAATGTAAGAGTCAAGAAACTTGGAAACTTTCCAGAGAAAAACCAGAATGTCAGACGCCTGTGCCAGCTATTGAAAAAGAGGAAGAGTCTGAACAAATAAGAGTAGGTGGCATCTTTTTGCGTGTAACTATACTGGAATCCTCAGTTCACTTTTCAAATGAGAATATAGAACAGATAATTAGGGAATTCCCTTGACATGATGGCAGTTTGATTTAAAGGAGAAAAGCAAAATGACTTGAGAGGAAAATATGGTCCCCAAAACTAATGGCTTTGTTTATTTTTTAAAAAATAAGAATCTCTCCCAGCTTGACACCTTCCTCATCATCCGTAATTGCCCATCTGATATGGACAAAGATTAAGATCTAATGTAAATACTCCGGAAATCGTAGGCGCTCCATCACTGGAGATTTTAAAGAAGGGATTAGACAGTAACTTGTCTGAGATGGTATAGGTTTTCCTGCTTGAGCAGGGGACTGGACTAGAAGACCTCCCCTCCAGCTTCTATTCTATTCTATTCTATTCTATTCTATTCTATTCTATTCTATTCTATTCTATTCTATTCTATTCTATTCTATTCCATTCCATTCCATTCCATTCCATTCCATTGTCTTCCATCAGAAATGAGTCATTCTCTTTTTTTCCCCTTGAAAACAATCTCTGCTTTCTAATGGCAGATGTTGAAGAAGCAAATTGCAGGCCTACAGGAGGAGTTCAGGAGAAACAAGATCCACTGGCAAGCTGCCCACAGCAGGCTAAGGAGTCAAGTGGAATTACTCACCAAACAGAACCTGGCGCTCCAGGATGAATTTGGAATCTCTGAGCATCAGAAGATGGAAACCCAGAGAAAACATGGAGCAGTGGATGTTATTAACAGAAGATCAGAAACACCGGTACTATAAACAAGACTTTTATTTGAGTTTAATGCCTCAACTCCCTTCCCCATGCTTGCTTCAAAGTAAAGACTAGGGGTCTTGCAAAATATTCCATTGGTAACAGATTATTCTCTAGTACAGTGCTGTTCAAACCAGCTTCAGAACTCCACCAATGATATCTTGCAATCCATCTAACCAGCATATCAATTCTTAGGGAGGTGTTAGTGGTATTGGAGCAGGTAACAAGCTGGGATCTATTTCATATGTCTGCCAGGATAAGAAGCTAGCCTTTTCTTTTCTCACCAAGGAGTTGGCTGCTACACATGTGGCCTTAGCTTTGTTTGTTTGTTTGTTTTTCCAAATGCAGGTGTATTGAGAATCACTACTGGCTGTATTTCACTCATTTAAACCATTTTTATTGTTAATGAAGCATTTCCTCCCCAGCTTTCTGCAGCTATCTTGAGAGGGACTTCCTCCCAAGAGTCTGCAGAAGAGAGAACATTGCAAGATAACCACAAGAGTCTCATTGATGTCCAAGTAAGAAGGAAAATATCATTTGATGATTTAGCTCATAAGGATAATGCCCAGGTAAGTCATGTAATCATGGTGATGGACAAAAAAAAAAAAAAAGGAAAAAATGTTTTCAATCTATAAGGAACAGGCACAATTTGCATTGTATTGTAGCTGGACTATGGAGGCAGAGGCTCAAATTCCTATATGAAATGAAAGCTGATGTGGTCCAAGGGTTAATATACTAAGCTAGGTATAACAAGATCTTAATTTGAATCTGGCTGCTTCTATGACCTCATCAGGAATCCTTGTTTCCCTCTTAGCCTTAATTTAACCATCTTTAATACGGTTTTCTATAGAAGGGGCTATTTTTATTCACCCTGATGTGTTGGGGTATAATTCACAAAGGCCACTCTGGCTGGTAGTTTTTGGGAATTGTAGTTCCAGGATACTTGGAGGGCACTAGGATAGAATGTTTACTTGCCAGTTGTAAAGCTTACAGGGTATGGTTAAGGGCACTGAACTATAAAAAACACAATATAAATAGACGGTCATCATTGTCATCATGGACTTCTATTATCTGAACTGTTATTTCTTAGTTGGACTTTTTTCTAATAAGGACCACAAAAGGTAACTTCTTGTAACTGTTTCTAATGTCTTTTAGGCAACCAGAAGGACATTGCTGAAGTCTGAGTCACAGAAAACTGCAAGAGGAGAACAAAGAACAAGGAGCTCATCTAAAATGCTTAATAATAGAAGTTTAACCCCTACTGGTCAGAGGACACCTCCTCCAGCACCTTTTCAAATTCAGAAAGTAATGTGGATTCCCTGAATAGACCTTTTTCTTTAGCATTTCTGTGTAGCCAACTTTGTCAGATTTCTTTGCAGCATGCAACTTTGTTTAAAGAAAACCAAGGAAGGAAGGAAGGAAGGAAGGAAGGAAGGAAGGAAGGAAGGAAGGAAGGAAGGAAAGCAAGCAAGCAAGCAAGCAAGCAAGCGAAATTTAGATAAAGCTTGTGTATTTTCCCTAGGCAAAGAATCAGTTCGAAGTAATAGTTTGTGAGTCTAGTGCAACAGTCTAAGGTGCTTGTTTATTCATTTCTTAGTAGCTATATTTATTTATTTATTTATTTATTTATTTATTTATTTATTTATGAGACTTATATACCGCTTTAAGTGCAAGCATTCTCTAAGCAGTGTACACCAGTAAGCAATGTATATATATATATATATATATTTACATTGCCCCCAACAATCTGGGTCCTCATTTTATCATCTCTGAACAATCTGAGGACATCTCCCCAGGTTACCACCTTTCCTATGCAATGATCATTCCAAAGCAATTAAAAAACAATCTTGAACACAGGTAGAAAACATGTCATGAGCCCATCATTGCTACTCCAGTTGATCCATTCAAGAGTTTATGGATTGTAAATTCAAGGAGTGCTGTACCCCGAATTGCCACCAGTAATTCAACAAATAACAAAACAAAGGAATAATAATAATAATAATAATAATAATAATAATAATAGTAATAATAATAATACATTCTACCTCAACTGAATAGGAAATGAAATAAACTATTACTACTCCTCTCTCCTTCCACGTTTATAGTTTCTGTCATGTATTTGCTTATTTTCAAAACACTACAGAGTTTCTTATGGTGGGATACCTGTAAATGAATGTAAAATTCTCTTTCCTTTTGCATTTTGCAACCTGCAGCGGTGAAGTGATTGATAGCTTGCTGTAAAATTGCAACCAAGCATTTTTTTCAGTAGCTATAATCCTGGTTCTGTGTTGTGGGAGGAAATATATTTTCAGCAATGCCTACAATAAGACACTGATGTTCTTGGGCTAGTCTGGAGTGGGCAGCTTGAGTCCAAGACAAAGGCCACAAGGCCATGGAAGAATTCTCTGCAGTGTCAAAACCAGAAGCTCAACAGAGTTTGAGCTCTGAAAAGCAAATGCCAGCTTTGTTGTCCTTTCAGCTAAACCTGTTCAAGCTTAATGTTTTTGAGAGATGAGTTCCAAAGTGAGCAATTCTTTGTGCTGTCACCAAATATGATTCTTTAGGGGTCCTTAGCTGTATGGGAAGTTTTTTTTGCATTCAAACATAAATAGAACACCTCATTATCTTTAAGATCTTATTGCTCAGACTATTTTGATTAGCAGCTGCATGTACAAAGATAGCTTGTCTGCAGATGTTGAATGTAATGCCAGAATGCCATCACGCTGTGCCCTTCTTCCAAGCTTATGGATTCTAATTAACTAGCTGTTTTTGATTTTTATTTCAGACATCTTGAGAATAGTATAGGTAGTCCTCAGTGTACGACCACTACTGACCCAGCATTTCTGTTGCTAAGTGAGACACATGTTAAGTGAATTTTGCTGCATTTTATGACCTTTCAGGCCAAAGTGGTTAAGTGAATCGCTGCAGTTGTTAAGTTAGTAACAACTGGTTGTTAAGCAACTCTGGCTTCCCAATAGACTTTGCTGGTCAGGAGATTGCAAAAAGGGATCACATGATCCCAGACACTGCAACCTGTCATAAATATGAGTCAGTTGCCAGGCATCTGAATTTTGAACACATGACCAAGGGGGATGCTACAACCGTTGTAAGAGTGAAAAATGGTCATGTCAGTTTTTTAATACTGTAACTTTGAACAGTCACTACATGAATTGTTGTACTGTATGTTGAGGACTACCTGATACACTGATAGGGTTGGAGAGTATCATAAGCTTTTCTAAGTGGCTGGCTTCTAGACGTATGGATAAAAATTCAAAAAGAGGAGGAAAACTAGGAAGATTATTGCCTGCTTTGACTGAGGCACTTCTTTATTGGCTTCATCCCTCCTATTTCCGCAGCATCTTTGCACTGCTGCACGAGTGTTCTCCCCTGCTTTCTTCCTCGTTGTAGACCAGGGGTCTCCAACCCCCGGTCCGTGGACCAGTACCGGGCCGCGGCATGCCAGCACAAATAAGGAAAGCCCCATCCACAGGATGCAGGCAGCACACAAAACCACGCCCCCTCTGGTCCACGGAAAAACCTCTGTCCCTTTAACTGGTCCCTGGTGCCCAAAAGGTTGGGATCCTCTGTTGTAGACCACCACCCCACCTTGAGCCAACCAGTGTCCTTCCTCTGGCCAGTCAGGGAGCACAAAAGTGCCCCATCCCAATGTTGGCTCTTCCCTCACCATGTTTTTTTTTATTAAAGCTGAGAGAAACGTTGGCCTGCCCTTCTGCTGAGTGACACAGCAACCTCTCTGAGCACTTGGGGAGGGAGGGAGGGAGGGAGGGCAGGGTGAAGACACCACGGTGTCGCCATGCCAGGATGACAGCAAAGGGCAGAACATCTAAGCTGCAGAAGCAGGTTAAGGCAAGAGTTCTAAACAATGGATTCACCTGCCTTGAAGATCCAGAGGAAACCTGGTAAAACTGTATTTGTGTCATTTTCTCTAGAACTGAAGCTCTCTACATAAGCCTCAGGGGCATGGTGCCAGTTTCTGATTGGCACAGCCTCATTGTGGAAAGGTCTTTAGGATCTGTTTGTTGGGTCCTCAATATAGAGGGAAATAACACAAAAGTCTTCCTTTTTGGAATATATCTTCTGATCGTCTATAAAACCCCCAATATCTGCATGATTAGAACAGCTTTATCCTACCTGATAAAATAGTTGGGAAACAACTTTAAGAACTGAATATTCTGGCTGGGACTTTGAGAACATATCACACTGAATAATGGTAATATAACTACTGTTGTTAATTTTGTGTCAGCCCTGCTTTCACTGAAAGTGGACAACTCTTTATACATCTAGACCAGACATGTCAAACACAAGGCCCGGGGGCCAGATGCGACCCGTGAAGTGGTTTCATGTGGCCCACGAAGCCATCCTGGAAACAGTGAGAGAACGGCCCCCTCTGCCTAGGGCCTGGCCCAGACCAGCCAGGAACCAATGTAAAATTTTGTGGTGGCCATCTATGCTGAAACGTATTCAGTCTTAGCTCCATAACCCCCCCCCGCATGGCCTGAGAGGAACAGTGAGGCTCCTCCAGTGGACCATGTCTTGGCACTTGCCCTGGTCTCACCTCCTTCTGCCAGAGACCCTCAGATCTGTCCCACTCCTGCCCAGGCCCCCACAGGCACCCTTGACGCGAACAATGTAGAACTGGTCACACTCACCCAGTAGGCCACACCCACTCCATCCATGCCCACCCAGTAGGCCGCACCTACCCTGTCCACACCCACCCGGCCCCCCAAGGGCAACCGCAATGCTGATGCGGCCCTCAATGAAATTGAGTTTGACACCCCTGATCTAGACGTTTCAAGTAAAAGTGTATGCAAAAATGTTTTTATTTGTTAAAAAATTGTTTCTTTGCTCTAGGCCTCCCCTCGGTTCACTTCTGACCAACAACAAAACCATGGAAGAAACACACCCATATCGGTGTCTAACCGGTGCATAAACAAGAATACTGTTCCATCCTTGTATGTAAAAGGTAAGATACTGTATGTGTAAAAAGGAGGCATCTAGTAATTGAAGAGTGGATTCCTTTTGCTAGCTAACAGCAACAGACTGCATTGGTTTAAAAATGGGTTCTGAATGATCTGTGCTTTACTGTGTAAGTCGCTAAGCTTTTTAACCTATCGATATTTGAATTCCTTTAGGCGTGTGCTCTTCCACCTCAGGTACTTCAGAAGATGCAGCATTTTCAAACAGCCTAAATACTGACATTTTAAACTCCACACCCTTAACTGATGTGGAACTCCAGGTATGTTTACATACAAATATTAAACACTATCTTTAAATATGGAGAATGTTTCCGTAATTCTGCTTTAAAATAACACCCTCCAAAACCAAGGGATATGCTTCTTTTCCTCAAAAGGTCAAATCAAGGTGGGTTTCTCATCCTCTCAAGTGATTTAGTTGCTTAATGTCTCTGCAGATGATGGAGAATGTTGACCATAAAAGGGCTCAAAGGTTCAAGAAGGCCTCTAGGCCACAGAGTGTCCCTGCAAATGGAAGGAAAACACCTGAAGGCAATCTTTCAACATTGGAGAAGACTGAAAAAAAGGTTAGGGCCCCTAAGGATTCATCTGTTACATTTCGTTCTTATGCATCTATTGTCAAATCAGCATCTTTCCTGGGATGATGGATATATTTGGAAGGAGGGTGAAGGCTCGTCCTCTGAGCTTGTGAGTTGGTTTCTGAATGTTTTGTTACCAGGCTCGGTAACATCTTCAGAGGCGTTTAGGGGATGTCTGTGTCAGTGCTCTTCTGTTTATAAGGGCTTCAGGTGTGGGTGTGTCAAGTGAGGGTCTTGTGATGGGTCAGATGTGAATCATCAGAGAGGCTTGTGATGGGTCTTGTGGTGGGGAGGTTACTTCAGGTCAGGTCATTAGAGGGTGTGAATAATCAGTGGGTCTGGAGTGAGTCAGCAATGGGAGGCTGGTGAGGGGTCTTGTGATGGGGAGATTACATCAGGTCAGGGTCATTGGAAGGTGAACTGCTGAGGAAGGGGAGAGAGGGCTTGCATGAGTTGGTTGTGGCTTGGTACTGTCTCCTGTTGGCTGTGCAATTGATTTGGATTCTGAAGGGTTCATAGGCTAGTTGTAGATCAATGTATCTGTTGATGGAATTCCTTGCAGGCTTCGATGAACTAGCCTGGTAACGAAATGTTCGGAAACCGACGCACAAGCTCGGAGAACAAACCTTCACCTTCATCCACAGTTTTTCTGTGTTAGTCTTATATCAGGTTTGCCTATGATTTATTGTCTTTATTTCCTCCACCTCCTTTTGGGGAAATATTTTGTCCTTTGGATATTGGTTTTGGTAAAATAAGTTATTCTTCCCAAATTCATTCATGTTTAATTGCTGATGGGTTTTTTCCCCCCAAAGCCAACATTACTCAGAAGAGCATCATCCTGTATTGAAAGCAAGGTTGGTGGAGAAGTGAAAGAAGAAATTAAGTACCTAGATGGAAAGGTAAGGCATTTTAGGTGTATATATAAAATCAATCAACGTTATACATCTCTCTCTCTCTCTCTCTCTCTCTCTCTCTCCCTCCCTCCCCTCTCTCTCTCATCTCTCTCACACACACATGAACACACATACATAAAGACACACACACATACACACACCTGCTCAAGATATTTACTGAAATCCTAAATCATTGTTAACTGGACATAGACTACAACGAGACAAGGTACCTTTCTTCACTGCTACCATATCTGTGCGTGGTTGATACTGACATCAACTGTTATTCTCTTTCATCTATGAGACCAAGAGGAATAGTGAAGTTTGTTAGTGCAAATCACAGACTTAACTGTGAAGTCTGTGTGTATGGTATTCCCGAAGATGCTTTCAAAAAAGGTAACTGGATTTTATTGATTTTTCTTGACAACATTCATTCCTCATCCAAGATGGTTGGTTCTAACTGGTGGGAAGTGTATAGGATTAAGATCAAATCAAGAAAGTCCAGTTGCCTTTTTGAAAGTACCATTGGGACAACCATGACCTGGATGACTAAGAACCTCCATAGATGTGTCTATGGTATATATGCGCATGGATATGATTCATTCTGTGTCTTCATCCTCCCCATTTCAAATGTCTCCCCCATCTTCACTCCTCTGTTGCTTTTTGACTTTTATGGTGGTTCAAAATGTATCCCATCCATTTTGAGCTACAAACAAAGAAAAGAATGTGGGCCCAAAGAAAAGAATGTAATATGCATCAGGGAAACTGCAGGTGAAGAAAGATCTGAAGCTGTTTAAGATAAAAGATGTAGGGACTTTCAATGTGGGTATTGTGACAGGAAGGACAAGAAGGCCTGGAGGAACATTGTTCATCGGGTCGCGATGGGTCAGACACGACTTCGCAACTAACAACAACATTGTGATTAGCTTCAGAACAATGCAGGTTCAATTTGCTGGATAAAATGGAACTGCCTTTTATACATAATCTTAATTTGAGATTGTACCGGGTGTGCTGCGCAATTAGTTTCATTTGGCACATGTTCTGAAATATTTATTTGTTGGAAGTGTGTTCCCCATCTGCTCTCTGAGAGGTCTTGCATGATCTCCTACGTGCTCCTTCTTCCCATACAGCTGGTTTGGGTACAAGGGGAGTCACATAATGCGAAAATTAAACTATTACAGGCATATGTCTCTGCCATATGGCAATTCATCAACGTGCAAATTGGAGCACCCCATGCAGGACTGGAAGTCTCCAAGGAGATGCAGATTATGCTGCTTGTAGAGAAATTGAATTTATAATGCAATTTGTGCCAGACATGAATCTAATAAAATCAGCATTTGTGACTGGCAGCAGGATTCTTTCTTTCCACTGTAAAGCCTTTTGAAGAAACCTTGAGATTGTTGTTCATACATTACTGAAAGATATTGAAACGAGTAATACAAATAGAGAAGGATACCTTCTTGGTCTCTGTGTAAATTTTGTCAGGGTGAATGCAGCATAGAAGTACTGTAAATGAATGAAAGAGAATTTACATACATGTGAATAAAGAGATACACTTATTGTAACCTGCTTTTTCCAGCACTCATATGCAACTATTTAACAGCCAATTTTGTTTGCAAGAGAACCAAACACTATCTACTAGTAGAGACATGATCTTTTAAGAGTGATGTTTGTCCATACAAGAAAGGAACAATGTGTATTCTCAAACAACTGATCTTTGCTTCAAAGGTGAAGCAGCTGTTTACCGATGGACGCAGAATTACTACATACCCCAATGGTACAAAGATGGAAATTAGTACTGATAAAAAGACAGCTACTGTTACTTTTTACAATGGCGATATTAAGAAGATCTTAGCAGATCAGACAGTGGTGAGTATGTTTGTTTCTATCTCCTTGAAAGCTAAATTTTTAGCAGTGCTGAATTCTGAATGATTAAGCTTGAGAAAAAAGGCGGTAAATAGGAGGCCATGTCATTTTGTTACAGCAAAATATGAACACATTTATTCCATAATAAGCTCATTTCAATAATGCATAAGGCTAAAACATCTGAAGAATGGTTGCAGGAATTGAGTATGTCTAGCTCAGGGGTCTTCAAACTGGGACCTTTTATGGGTTGGGAACTTCAACTCCCAGAATTCCTCAGCCAGCGTGCCTGGCTGAGGAATTCTGTGAGTTGAAGTCTACAAGTCATAAAAGGGCAAAGTTTGAAGACCCCTGTGCTAGGCAATCTCTAATGGTACAATTAAAGATAGCATCTTTGGTTGATCAAGCTGCAAGACAAGAGTACAACAGAGTGCATGGCATAGTGCCATAGAAATAGAAGAGAACCAAGAAGGGCCAAACATTTGTGCAATCAGGGCACCAACATAACACAAGGAAAGAACAGATGCCATCCAGCTAAATAGCAGCTTGGCTGAGGTATTCTGGGAGTTGAAGTCCACAAGACATAAAAGGGCCAGGTTTGAAGACCCCTGGTCTAGTTTAATGAAAAGAAGGACCAGGGATGACATGAAAGCAGTTTTCCAATATCTAAGGAGCTGCCACAAAGAAGAGGGGGGTCAATCTATTCTCCAAAGTGCCTGAAAGCAGGACAAGAAGCAACAGATAGAAACTAATCAAGGAGAGAAACAACCTAAAACTAAGGAGAAATTTCCTGATAGTTAGAATAATTAATCAGTGGAATGATTTGCCTTCAGAAGTTGTGGGTGCTCCAACCCTGAAAGTTTTTAAGAAGAGATGGGACAACCATTTGTCTGAAATGGTATAGGGTTACCTGCTTGAGCAGGGGGTTGGATTAGAAGAAACTGAATGAAACCCTTGAATACCTTGAACCAAAGAGTAGGTCAATTCAAGGCCTGCAAATGTAGCTTAAAGAAAAATAACACCAAGCTGGAGTTTAGTTACAAGAGTCTAATAATTAGAATTAAGGAACTTAAAGAACAAGTAGGTCAAGAATACTACAATATAGACTTGAATGCAACTCATAACATTTCCACATTTGCTAATCTGTCTAAAGTTCTGCAAGCTCTTTGTTTTAACTGTTTTGGTTAAGGTGCTTTTCCAAAGCGCTTGAAGGCAGGACAAGAAGCAACGGATGGAAACTAATCAAGGAAAGAAGCAACCTAAAACTAAGGAGAAATTTCCTGATAGTTAGAATAATTAATCAGTGGAACGATTTGCCTTCAGAAGTTGTGGGTGCTCCAACCCTGAACGTTTTTAAGAAGAGACTGAACAGCCATTTGTCTGAAATGGTATAGAGTTTCCTGTCTGAGTAGGGAGTTGGACTAGATGACGTCCAAGTCCCTTCCAACATCATCATCATCATTATTATTATTATTATTATTATTATTATTATTGATCATCACACAATCTTCTTCTTCTTCTTCTTCTTCTTCTTCTTCTTCTTCTTCTTCTTCTTCTTCTTCTTCTTCTTCTTCTTCTTCTTCTTCTTCTTCTTCTTATTATGGATCATTGCACAGTCAGCCAGATGTTGAGACTGGATTTGGCATTTTGTCTACCTATCGAGTCCTTACCCAGGACCTGGGATAGGCAGATGTGTATTACAGATATCGTCGCAGGATGGAAGCAGTTCCTATTATTTTTATTTTTATTATTATTATTTTTATTATTTTTATTATTATTATTATTATCGATCATCGCACAGTCAGCCAGATGTTCAGACTGGATTTGGCATTTTGTCTACCTATCGAGTCCTTACCCAGGACCTGGGATAGGCAGATGTGGATGTTTGATGGTATTACAGATATCGTCGCAGGATGGAAGCAGTTCCTATAAGGCTGCCTTTTGCAATTGACTAATAGCGAATTTGTCAATGCCAATGGTGTTCAAGTGGTGCTCCAGTTGTTTTGGGATTGCACCCAAGGAGCCTATGACTATTGGTACTACCCTTGCTTGCTTTTGCCACAGTCTTTCTATTTCTATTTGTAGGTCTTTGTATTTTGTTATCTTCTCCAGTTCTTTCTCTTCTATTCTGCTATCTCCAGGCACTGCCACATCCACTATCCAGACTTTTTTGTCTTTCTTATCGACAATTGTTAAGTCTGGGGTGTTATGTTGCAGGTGCTTGTCTGTTTGAATTCTGAAGTCCCAGAGCAGTTTAATTTTATCATTTTCTATGACTTTCTCTATTTTATGATCCCACCAGTTTTTGCTTACAGGCAAATGATATTTTTTGCAGATCTTCCAATGCACCATTGTTGCTACTTTGTCATGCCGCTGCTTGTAATCAGTTTGTGCAATCTTCTTGCAACAGCTTACCAAGTGGTCCACTGTTTCTTCAGCTTCTTTGCATAGGCGGCACTTACTGTCTGTTGCTGTCTTCTCAATTTTGACTTTGTATGCATTTGTCCTTAAGGCTTGGTCTTGTGCAGCCAGAATTAGTCCCTCGGTCTCTTTCTTCAATTTTCCTGCTCTTAGCCATTGCCAGGTTTTATTGTTATCTGCTTTCCCAGCTATTTTTTTCATGTATTGGCCATGTAGTGCTTTGTCTTCCCATGCCTCTATTCTGTTCTTCATTTGGTCTTTCTTGTAGGCCAGTTTGGTCTCTCCAGTAGTTAGTAAGCCTTCCTGATATACTAATTTCAGTGCATCTTCATCATTGTTCTTCAGATATTCTTCCAAAGCCATTTTTTCTTCTTCAACCATCTGATGTACTTGTAGCATTCCACGCCCACCTATTTGCCTTGGTAGATAAAGTCTATCAATGTCACTGCGTGGATGAAGGGCATGATTCATTGTCATTATTTTTCTGGTCTGCCTATCCATTGCTTTTAGTTCTGCTTGAGTCCAGTCCACTATTCCAGCTGTGTACCTAATGACTGGGATTGCCCAGGTGTTGATTGCCTTTATGGTATTTCCTCCATTGAGTTTGGATTTAAGATCTTCTTCACTCTCTTGATGTATTCACCTCTAATCTTTTTCTTGACTTCAGTGTGCTTGATGTTGTCAGCTTGAAGGATACCCAAGTATTTGTAGTACTCTTCCTCATCCAGACTCTTAATGTTATTTTCGTGGGGCATCTTGATTCCTTCAGTTTTCATTATTTTTCCTTGTTTGATAGTAAGTGTGGCACATTTGTCCAAGCCAAACTCCATTACAATATCTTGGCTATATATACGGACAGTGTTGAGCAGCGATTCTATTTCAGATGATGTTTTTCCATACAGCTTCAGATCATCCATATAAAGGAGGTGGGATAGTCTGGCAGATGTTTTTGATGTTTGATAGCCATGTCCTGAGTTATTCAGTATTGTTGACAGAGGAAACAGTGCAATGACAAATAGTAATGGTGATAATGAATCTCCTTGAAATATTCCTCTCTTGATATTAACCTCTCCCAGCCTCTCACCATTGATCTGCAACTGTGTCTTCCATTGTGCCATCGATCTTTGCACAAATTTTCTGATGTTTCTACTGACTCCTGTTATTTCTAGGCACTTTATTATCCAATCATGTGGCAGAGAGTCAAATGCCTTTTTGTAGTCAATCCATGCCACATTCAGGTTGGTCTTCCTTCTCTTGCAGTTTTCCAAGATCATTTTGTCTATTAGGAGTTGATCTTTTGTTCCTCTGCTATTGGGGCGGTTTCCTTTCTGCTCAGGTGGAAAGAGATTGTTTTCAACTAGATGCTGTTGCACTGCATCAGCTACTACACCAGTTAGTAATTTGAAAGTTGTTGGTAAGCAGGTAATTGGCCTGTAGTTACCTGGTGTTGCCCCTTTTGCTGGATTTTTCATTATTAGGTAGGTTTTCCCAGTTGTTAGCCACTTTTCAATTTCTCCTCCTTGTAGTATATTGTTGAACTGTTTGGCAATGAGTGGGTGTATAACAGTTAGATGTTTCAACCAAAACCCATGCAGTTCATCTTCACCTGGTGCTGACCAATTTTTGATTTTCTTTGCTCTTTTTTCTACCATTTTTGTTGTTATTACTAGTTCTTTCATTTCAACTTCTGTTTTATTTGCATCCACCTCTTTTAACCAAGCCGCATCCTTGTTGTATTTCTTTGGGTTATCCCATATCTGCTTCCAGAACTGCACTGTTTCTTCCTTGTCAGGTACTGACTGATTCCTTGCAGTTTCTCCATTGATGGATTGGTAGAAACGTTTCTGATTGGATTGAAATTGGAGGTTCTGCCTATAGTTTGCAATTCGAGCTTCATATCTACTGATTTTCCTGGCTATAGCTGTTATTTGTTGCTTTATTATTTCCAGTGCTTCCTTGATCTTCCTTGTTTCTAAGTGGTATTTCTTGATTAGGTATTCTTTGGTCTTCTTGTTCTTCAGCTTCTTTTCTTTCATCTGTTCTAGCTTGCTTGCATGTGATCTTAACTTGCTGATCTTATTTTCTAGTCTAACCTTCCATTTTTCTGGTGCACTGTTTGTTTGTTTTTCTTCTTTGTTGATTTTGCATCCCAGGTATTCTGTTATAACTGCAGCTGTGCTGTACATTAGTTGGTTTGTTTCTTGCAGTGAATTGGTGCTTATACTTGATATTGCAGTATTTGCATCTTTTAATGCTTGTGCTAGCTGTTTCTTTGGAACAAGCTTCAATGCAGGTAGCCTTATTCTGTTGTTTTTGTGCTGTTCTAGATGCTCAGTTATTCTTTGTTTCAATTCTTTTATTTCTTTAGTTAGAGGGTTTTGTTCTTCCTGAGGTAGAGGTGCCTGGTTTCCAAATGAGAACAGTTGTATATCTCTGCTAGATTCCTTCACTGCCAACTCCCCCTGGTTTGCCTCTACATTCTGAATTACTTCTGGTAAGGCTTTGATTTCTTTGCCCTGGGTAAACCTTTGCAGTTCGTCCAATTCTGCTTCTGTGAATATTTTATTTCGTGTTATAAATCGGCGTTGATCTGCTAGTCTCTGTTCTGTTATTTCTGATTCTGGATGTTGTTCTTTCCAGAATTGTGCATTCGTTTTAGATATCCTCTTCTTGTTGGACTTGATCTGTAGTAACAGATCATTATTTCTTTGTTTTCCATCACTGTGTATCTGCGACGGGTAAACACCTTTTCTTCCAGTAGTTCTGCAGCTGCTGGCCCTGGTTGCTCAGCCAACAGTCCTGAGTCCTGTAACCCATTTTTCACCAGATATCCAGGAACTCCAATATCTAGTGCGGACCTTGTTAACCCGGGCGACGTCCGAGCCGGTATGGCATTCTGAAATTTACGTCTCACCATATTTTTTATGGGAGAGACACTCTTTGTCTGACTCCTCTGATGAGACCTGTCCAGTATGGTTGAACCTCTGGCATAGCTCTCATCTTCCTCAGAGTACACAAGCCCCACAACCACGTCAAGGTAGTGCCTCACTGGGGGTTATTATTATTATTATTATTATTATTATTATTATTATTATTATTATTATTATTATTATTATTATTATTATTATGCAGGTAGTCCTCACTTTACTACCACAATTGGGACTGGAAACTCTATTACTAAATAATGTGGTCATTAAGTGAGACCTCACATGACTGCAATTGTGATTTTACTGCTGCCTTCTCTACCAACTCCATGGGTTTCAAAATGCCTGAATCTCGTTCACATGACCACAGGGATCCTACAATGGTCATAAGTGTGGGGACCGATCAAAAAGTTACTTTTTCATCGCATCCATAACTTTGAACAATTGTGATGACTACCTGTATAATGTTTGAGTCGGGCCATTTTGTGAGCACTCTTGTTAAGTCCTCTAAAATAGGAAATCACTGCTGACCTGTTTTAAACAATCCAGAGATCCCCTTCTAGCCAGTACCAATTCAACCTCCTGGCCATCTTTGCTGTACAAACCTTCAGTCTTACTAAGATGCCTGAAGAGGTATTTAAAAATGGAATTGCAGACATCAGCCCTAGGACAGACAGTTTGAAGGGCCTGAGGTTGGAAAAAAATGTTCTTGAGGGATGTTACTATATACAAAGAAATAATTTTAGCAGTTGCATTTTGATTAGACTGCTGAAGAATACCGGGGTCAGCTGCTGTATTAATATTGTAAGTTATGTTTGCATATGCATGCAAAGTACTTGAATTGAAAAACATACTGATTTCTCCTCTTCCTTCTCCACCCAACCCCACTCCTAAACATACTGATGTATTCATGGGCTGCTGATTCAATGCATTTTCTTTCCATTCCCAATCTTGATGTCCCAATGGAAAGAAATCGGCACCATTGGAAACTAGCTGTGCAAGTAATGCAGCTAGCTTTTATGTATTCCTTTGGTCACAAAGATATTAAATAAAAGGAAAAGTTTTGTAACCGCCCAAGATATGTGGGGGGAAGAGATGGTAAGCAACCAAGGTTTGTTTCCTCTTTTTCAGATTTATTACTATGCAGATGCTCAGACAACCAGAACTATTTATCAGGATGGTTTGGAGGTGCTGCAGTTTCCTAATGATCAGATTGGTATGTGATGTTGGCATATTAAGTTTTAAACCAACTTCTTCAGCAACATTAGGTGGTAGATAATAGACTACTCTTCCCTTACTAGAGGTGTTGAACTACATCTTAAATGATCCTAAACTAGTTTGGCCATTGGAACTAGGCTTCATCTCTTTTAGAGGGAGTCCAGTTGACAGAAGTAGCAATATAACTTCACATTAAAAATTGCATGTTTCTGTACCACTCTCTTTATGGAATTCCCACCAAAATAGACCCCGAAGAATTGTGTTGACCTTGATACACATTGGGTTGATAGACGTAACATATTTTTTATATATCAACTTCCTTATTACCCTTCAATAGAGATTTCTGGAGCGGTTCACAGTAGACAGATCTGTCTGGAATAAGATTATACTAGGGAAACATAAAAAAAACTTTGTATTATCAATCTATAATGATATGCTGGTTGTATTAGAATCAGCAGAAATTTCCCCATTGTCTCCAGGAAAAGAAAAAATGTTTATAACTTAATGTTTACAATATTCTTAAACAGAAATATACTGTATATATGTGAATTATGGCACTATGGAAAAAACTGGCATTTCTGTGAGGTGGCACATTGTTTCTTTTATTTGAAGTAATGATTATTATGCACATTGTCACAATTGCAAAGTAAGATATAGTATCTTTCTTGAACCTTTCTTGATTTAAAAGAGGGAACTTCTTTTGATGTCTCATGTTAATAGTTAGGCAACCTCGTGTGTTAGCCTTACAGTTGGAGGGAACAATTTAAAAAGTGATTATGAAATAATATTAAGATGTATTTTTTTTCCTAATGGAGAACTGCATCTTGTCCATTGGGATACATGCATTATCTATAACAGCTTGCTGCTATATTACAACATTGATTATTTGTGCATATTCTACTTACCTGTTTTCTGTTTGGAAAACGATATATGTAAACAATTTCCCCTTAATTAGGGAACTGAGGCCTTAGCCGATTTAGAATTCAAATGAGCCACCATTTCTGTATGGGAAATTTGTTGTAGCCTGCTGTTGTTAGATCACTATATATAATGGCTCCCTGTGTGTATTTTTATCCATGATACGTTCATACTGGGCAATTTGGTTTACAAGGAATATTGAATGATGCCCTTGTTAACAGAAAAGTATCATCCTGATGGTACTGAAGAGATCATCTTTCCGAACCAGACAGTGAAACGACGCTATGGTGGAGGTTTTGAGGAAACCATTTTCCCAGATGGCACAGTGGTTAAAGTAGAAACGTAAGTAGAGAGATATAGACTGGATACAGAAGACAATGGTACTGACCTAGTCAACACATCAGCTTTATTTGTCAGGAGCTATTAAAGTAGAGCAGATCTTTAGTAGCCTTTTCTGCTGCAATATGTGTCCTGACTAGACCAGAATATAGATAGTCCTCAACCTATGACCGTAACTGGGCCTCCCCCTCAATTGCAGTCATGAAGCAGGTCACCGCATAACCAGACCCAATTTTATAACTTTTTTTGTGGTGGTTGAGAAATGAATGTGGACATTGGTAAGCAAACCCATTGTTGGTTATGGGGCATTTTTTGCTGGAAATCGGAAGTAAATGCTGGTTTCTGGCAAAAACGTTATAAATCACGGTCACGTGATCACCGGGTGCTGCAAATGGCTGTAAATCCGGGCTGGTTGCTGAGCACCCAAAATGCAGTCACATGACCTCAGAGAGATGATGTCAGAATTTTGAAACAATGTCATAAGTAGTGTTGGGGGGAGGATCTGGTGTAACTTCAAACAGTCATTAAGCGACCGGTCATAAATTGAAACTACATATAAGCCATTCTTGATTTTAAGCTAGGCAGAACCTGTGCTTCATTCCTGTTACACTTTTTCTGAGGAACCCTAGCTAATCCCTGTTAAATAAAGTATCTTTGTCTGATAGCCAACTGGATTACTGGCTGGCTTACTAAACTTACAAAAGATGCTTATTCCTGGGGTCAGGAATTCCTTGTCTTTAGACTGGGTAAGTGCTTTGACTCTAAGTCTGTTGAAGCCAGAGATATTTTTTTTTTAATTCTTTACAGAAATGGAGAGAAAACCATCTACTTTCGTAACGGGCAAAAGGAGATCCAAGCTTCTGGGTCAAAAAGAAGAGAGTATCCTGATGGTACTGTAAAGACTGTGTATGCTAATGGACAATGGGAAACCAAGAATGTTCCTGAACAGGTTCAGATCCAGAATGACAAGGAAGTACTTATTCTAGATGAGTGAAGCATTCCCCTAAATTGGAGGTGGGGAACTGTGGCCTTTTTATGACTTGTGGACTTCAACTCCCAGAATTCCTGAGCCAGCCATGCTCACAAGTCCACAAGTCACAAAAGGGCCATAGTTCCCCATCCCTGCCCTAAATGGTGGCCTTACAACCCTCCTATTTGCAGTGTTTCCAGATCAGTGTTAAAATTCAAAATGTAAACAAATATAAACAATACAAATAGGGTACAGCTTGCTACAAATTAATGTAAACAGTGACATAATCAGCATTTTTTTTTAAAAAAACCCCAAGCTACAGAAATGTTCAATATGAATTTATTTTTGAAAGAGTGGTGGAAAGAATGGTCGTCCCCATCTGCCTGAAGTGGAAAGGAACGCCTTCCACCTCTTTGAATTCTGGAATCATGGCGAAAGCCTGCAAACCCTTTTGTTTGAGCAGTGAGGAGATGTGATGAAGAATCAAGAACCGCTATAACTCTAAAATATGGTGTATTCTAAATAGTCTGTTGCAGCTACCACTAGCAAGTGGAATACATTATATCAAAATTATGACACATATATACTAACATCATCAGACACAGTTGTATCCTAAGGTCTGATGGAAATACATAAGCCATAGTATTTGGGTGATGGTGTTGCAAATCTTTTATCATTTGCCCCACTCCTGTCTGGATCCTGAGGAAGATGTTTTTCTTTTTAACATAAACTATTTTTCTAAAATATTACCACTTCTGAACTGATCAGGATTACCTCCCCAGGATCTGAGTTTTGAGAATTATGTGATTAGCCAAGCCATTATTTGTTAAGGCAGGGTTTGTTGAATTGATCATAACTGACTGGATTTCACAACATGCCAAGCCATAAACAGTGGTTTACAAATCACAATGAGATCAAGCTAAAATTCATACTGGCCAGAACATACATCTTTCAGCCAGGGAGGGTGGGCCAATGACTCTTAAAACCTGTGAAAAGGCAGCAGTAAGAATACATATTTCTGGAGCTAGAAGGGCTAGTAATAGTAATAGTAGTAAGTAGCTGCCAAATGAAAAAGCTGTGTGTATGGAACAGGAAGGCAAAGGTCATCCTTGAGTTACAACCATTTGTTTAGCCACCTTTCGAAGGTGAATGGCACTGAAAAAAGTGAGTTACAACCAGTCCTTGCACTTACGACTGTCATAGGATCCCGACAGTCATGTGATCAAAATTTGGGTGTTTGCAGCAGCATCTTAGGATCTTGCCATTTGCAACGTTCCCAGCCAGCTTCCGATAAGCAAAGTCAATGGAGGCAGTTGAACTCACCTAATAACTGCATGATTCACTTAACACTTGCAGTGATTCACTTAATTGTGGCAAAAAATATTGTATATCAGGCACAACTGAGATGAACAACTGCCTTGCCTACCAATGGAAATTCTGTCTCAGTGATGTCATATGTCTATCTATAGCTTTTACCCTCCTCCCTTTCCAAAAGGGAGTGGCTGAGTTGGTAAAATTCTCTTCAGGAAATTATATAGTATAATGGAGCTCTCTAGAAATCTACAAGTAAATAGGACTCCAATGAAGTTTTAATGTTATGAATTCTCATTTTATACTCAGCTTGTAAGTGCCATATGTGAAAATAAACTCTATGTTACAGAAATGCCATAAATGCTCCAGTGAAATTAAATCTAGATAAACATTTGCATCCAGATAGATTTCACTCTTCAGGGGTGCATATCCATATTTTTCCAGCTGTGTAAAGAAATTCAGGTACTAAGTTGTGTACTTTTCAGGAGTTCTGTGTCCGACTCTCCCTGTCACTCAACTGTCTTTTTATTTGTTTGTTTCCCTGGGATACATTTTTTTCCAAACTGGTGATTTTTAGAACTGTTGGAGTATAATGTGTATTACCTCTGCTTGCATGGCTAAGACTCTGTGGTCTGTAATCCAACTCATACAGACAGTGCTGAGTTGGGGAAAGCTCATCTGATGTCACATCTTGTGTTTGGATCCTGGGTGGGTCCTTCAATGACAGGATGAATATGTAGATGAGTATGTCTATGTTAGACCACAGAAAAGACTTCTATAGTTTTGACATGTTCAAGGGAAACAGACTATTTGACCTTCTGCTTTCACTTTTGTAATTTTGATGCTAAACTTGAATACAAATTGAAAGTGGCCAAAAAGTCTTTTTAAAATTAAACAATGATATATTAGTACAACCGGTACATTACTTGTTTGTACTGTTTACTGATTCAAATGCCATAAACTGAATGACCTGCTTAATATTTTATCTCTTTCGTTCCCATTATTTGTATAAATATAATATTTTGAAGGAGATCATTGCAAATTTTCCAACATTTGCACTTATATTGAGAAGAGAATTATTTCAAAGGAAGAGAAAGAAAGAAAATTTGAAAGTGTATAGGAGAGACTTCCAAAATTTCCTGCCTGCTAGATGTGTTAGATTCTACTAATTTTATTGTTTAAGAAATATAGGCCTTAGTCTGGCACATTTGGTAGGCACCAGGTTGAGGAAGTCTAGTATAGAAATGGCACACATTATATTTTTGTCATCAATTTTCAAGCTCTTTCATAAAAAAGAGTATAGAATTGCTCAAACCATTTGTCTACTGGTTAACTAAAGCTTTATTTAATTTTTGATGTTCTGGTTGTAATTCTTTACTTATTAACTTATGGATTTCCTGTATTACACTTTTGACATTCATCCCATTCTTAGATGCTTCAAGTGCTGCATCGTTGAAAGGAAATATAAGGATAAAATCACCTACACGAGGGAATGGCCGTCGGTCTTTATCTGAGAGAAAATAAGGAGGAATAGTTGGCTTGTGGGTGTAGAACTCTAGTGAGTTAAACCAATGTGTGGACTGCACAGACTCACATAGCGAATGACTAGTTCTTAACATCAGTCTGCTTTTCGATAATGGCTTCGATTGGATAGGTGTTTGGGGCATGTGCATCTTTTCACGCAATTGTGAAGTCAAAGTTTTCCGAGGGTATGCACTAGCTGTTCTGCCATACGTGGGTGTTCTTTTATTGATCTGCAAACGTGATGGAGAAGGGGAAGTTGTTGCTGATTTGGTTCCTTTCCCACAAGCCAGGAAATCCAGTGGGACCTCTGACTGAGTGGTCAGCAAATATTGTGACTGGCTGAAGCACGAAAGCCTCCGATTGGCCCCTCTGCTTTTTCTTAAAGTATCAGCTTCCTTGTAGTTCAGCAAGTCAACAATGTCATGGAGCAGTTTCCTTTTGACAGTGACATCACTGGCACAGTCTAAGCGCAGACCTGGGCTGTGGTTTACTTCGAGAAGCCAGGGTTTCATTTTCTCATCAACCAATATGTCAAACCCAAAGAGTTCAAAGCAGTTGGACGTAAATGGTACTGAAGTGGTGATGGCCAACAAAGTTAGAATGACTATATGGTTGATTCTTTTCCACAGGAGCAGGTCATCAACACTGCAGCTCCGTAAATAGGCCCGAAATTTGCTAAAAGTCCATTTGCAACCAGAGCCAATGACTTCTTTGTCCTTTCTATATGATGGCCCAAACTTATTGATGCTTGTGTTTGTCAGGTGAGCGTAAATATTGTCAAGGGATGTCAGGTCAAACTTCTCTGTTGCAAACCTCACCAGTCCTTCTTCATATATATAAATTGTAAGGGGATAAAAGCTTGTAACACAAACATAAATACGGAGGTCCCATTTGTATCCGGAAATAAGCAAAGGGTTACTGATATATTTTTGCACAATTACCATGCAGTCATAAACAAAATCCTTAATGTCTTGAAAAATGAGAATGCCTCTCCCGCGAGACCTATCAACTGGTTTGCAGATCCAGTAACTCAGCTTTTTTCCTGGTATTTGCCTCTCCTTGGAGTACTCAGTTATAAATTTTATATAGTCATTGGGCATGATGAAGGCCACTGGACTGAACTCATAAAGGGTGGTTCCATAAATTCCCTTCATGCGTTTCAGATGTCTTGCCAAATAATCTTTCCGAGTGATTCTGATGGTTTCTGGATGGTGATTGAGCCTCTGCCATGGTTTGATGCTCTGGTGTTCTGTCATCCGGAAAGGGCAATTCCTCCAATACAAGTTCCAGTCTTCATTATCTTGTTCATTCTCATCATATTCAATCCAACCACGTTCCAATAAAATTTCACGAACTAATGAAGGTACACTATCATGGAGCCGGAATACGAGTGGCCTGGTGATGCCTCCAAGCTCAACTCTTTTTGCTGTTGTGGAACTCTTACTTCCTACAAAATTAATAGGGGCACATAGTAGGACAGAAACAATCCATTCAATTGATTTGAATTATGATATCACGAAAAAAATGCATTGCTATCTTATATTTTCTAGGCCAAGGGTCTGCCATCTTGGCAACCTTAGGTCTTGTGGACTTCAACTCCCAGAATTCCTCAGCTAGCCATGAGGAATCTTGAAATTGCCAAGTTTGGAGCAAAAAACCTGCATGTTCTATAAACTAATCTCAGAATAAGTTTTTTCAATCCAGATAGTATAAAAATAACCTATGTCTTCAAAATTAAGTGAAAATATAGGAAACAATTTGACCATCTTCTTTGGGAATAAGGACTCTGAAACCAGAACAAATCATGAGCAATCTACATTCACTTTTTGTTCTTAAACTCTGATTTTTTTCCCCATCCTAACTGGCTTTAATTGGATAATTGAAATATGAGACATATTTATAAACCAGGTCCTTTGTTTGGATTCCTTTCCTAGCTGTCTGCCAAAAAGAAGTCCAAATTTCTTACTGTTGCTACAATGTAAGAACTCTATTAATTAAAATCAGAAGAATATCTTGTTTAACATTCTGACTCAATATAGTCAGCCAAATGCCTACAAACAGGACGTGTAGTCAGTAAGGCCATTTTGTTAATTTTCCCCTGGGGCTAGTATTAAGAGGCCTGCTGCTCCTAATCTTGTTAAGTATCATATGCCTATCATGACCAGCAGCCGTGAATAATAACAACAATGACTTTTGATTTAAGAGTCTGAATCATAAGCTATACTCATCTTCATCAAGTTTGCAATTCCTTACTTCACACTGATATACAGGTAGTCCTCACTTAATGACCACAATTGGGATTGACAATTCCTTTGCTAAGCAACTTGATTGTTAAATGAGACATCACATGACTGTAATTTTGATTTTACTGCCAGCTTCTCCATTGACTTTGTCTATGGAGACTCTCAGACATTCAGGTCATAGTTATTCCAAAGGTGCTTTTTCACAAGGCAACTAGATTTTCTTGTTTTTCTTTGAAGACATTTTGCTTCTCATCCAAGAAGCTTCTTCAGTTCTGACTGGATGCTGGGGAATGGAAGGATTTATACTCCTTGCAGACAGCTGGTCATTTGCATTCTTTTAGAAAGTCCTTGAGGCTGGAGGTTTATTTGTATCGTCAGAGTCATCTAGGTCAGTGGTGGCGAACTTATGACACGGGTGCCAGAGGCAGCACTCAGAGCCCTCTCTTTGGGCACAGGCGCTATTGCCCCAGTCCTAGGCCTTCAGCTGGGTTTTATAAAACCTTTTTGCTTTAGGCCTCCACCGCCGTGTACAAAAAAAAAATCAGTCAATTTCAACTTCTCGCGGGGAAAAAAAAGATCTTGCAGAGTTGGAATTGATTGATTGAACTTTTTAGTCCCACCCAGTCTGCCGTTTCCACCGCAGCCACGCCCAGCCAATGGGCCACGCCCAGCCAATGGGCCATGCTCAGCCAATGGGCCACACCCACCCGGCAGCTGACAATGCATAAGTGGGTTTTGGGTTGTAGTTTGGGCACTCAGTCTCTAAAAGGTTCGCCATCACTGACCTAGGTAGTACAAATGGGTGTGGAGACTTCTTGGAACTGCTGAAAGGACTGTGTTGTAGACTGGAGATAGGTGATGTTGTATCCCTTCCCTCTGTTGAGAGAGAGTCAAAATTGAACAGCTCTCTCTCAAGGGGGGGGGGAGAACATCATCTATCTCCTGTTTACAACACAGTCCTTTCAGCAGTTACAAGAAGGCTCCATACCAATTTGCACTACTCAGGTGACCCTGATGACACAAATAAACCTCCAGGTGGCCTCAATGACTCTCTAAAAGAATGCAAATGACCAGCTGTCTGCAAGGAGTAATTCATTAAAAGGAGTACTTTTTGCCATATTTTCTCAGCCTTGTGTCCTACAGATATGTTTGGCTCCAATGTTCATAATTCCCAGCCATACTTATTGGAATTTGGGGGTCAGCTACATTGAGAACTAAAGTTTGTCTGGACATGAATGTTAAACATGTCAATAACTAAGCAAACCAAGTCCCTCTTGGTAACATATGCAAAGCCAAGTGAAAAGCAGATAGAAGAAACCCAGAATTTAAACTACAGAGAATGTGGTTTCTTCTGTTGACAGAAAGCAGCAAGTTGGGTAAAATGGCTTCATCTTGGCTAATCTGGCTAATACCTTACCAGTTTTTTTGCTGAGTTCAAGTTCAAGTCTGCTAGTTATGGAAGCCCAATACAACCAGAAGGGACCAAGATAGGGATGATTTATTTTTATCTATTGCTATAATTTATCCTTGATTTAAACTGTTATTTGAGTAACAACAGTTACATCCAATGATATTATCTGACATGTCTAGTTTGCTCTGAGACTATAGCTGTATTATACAGTGAAACAAATATTCTATTATTAAACTATTTCAGTAGTATTCCTGGTTGTCAAAGTACAGGCAGCAGCCTATTATAGGTTATCCAACAGCAAAACAAACATCTACCAGATTTTATGTTTGCTCTTGAAATCCTCATGGTTTAAAGTGCTTGCAACTGATCCTTGCATATTTAGTTACATCACATTTTTGTTCAGCTGAGTTCATATTTTTAAGAATTCCTATGTAAGCTTAGAATTGGAAGTTTAGGATAACTTGTCAGCAGGCTGGTATCTTTCAGTCATATCTGCCAGAGCTATGTTAGAGCAAGATGCTCTACTCAACTAAAATAAATCCATTTATATGCATAGTATCTAGGCAAGTTTTCTTGGTACTAGGTAGACCTTGTTTAGCAACCATTCGTTCAGCAATCGTTTTGAAGTTTACAACAGTGCTGAATAAGGAGACTTCTGGCCAGTCCTCAAGGTTGCAGCAGCATCACAGCCATTACAAAATTCACAGCATCCTGCAATCATGGGATCACCATTTGTGACTTTCACTGCTGACTTCCAACAGCAAAATCAATGGGGAAGACAGCAAGAATCTGCAAATGGCAACCACATGATATTTTGCCTAACCACACATATGATTCGCCTAACAACCATAATGAGCTGCAGGGTCCTCCCACTTTATGACCATGCTGCTTAACAATAGATTTGCTGATCTCAGTTACTGTTGTTAACTGAGGACTACCTGCCCAGCTACATAAGACACAAAATAGATGCTCTGTCTAAAGGCAGAACTTGTGTGCGTGTGTTTTGCATTCTACAAGTAAGATCAAATGGTATAGCTTGGGCTATCATTTATTTGATGGGGATAGGTGATTATTGGAATACAATCCCCCATTTTCCTTGACTGCTGGTCATTCTGAAAGAGACCTGAGATCAATAACATCTGAGAGTTACATATTCCATCTCTCCATGCTTAGATGTGTGAAAGAAATGGGGGGATACGGGGAGGGGGGAGACATTACTGTAGATGCAATGAGGAAGAGCTGCAGAGGAATTGTGTCAACCATTTTAGATACCCTGGATAGACTCATCTATCTGTCTGTCTGTCTGTCTGTCTGTCTGTCTGTCTGTCTATCAATAATAATAATAATAATAATAATAATAATAATAATAATAATAATATCCATCCATCCATCCATCCATCTTGTTCTAGGAGGCTTCACCTGAGTTCTACCAGCACAAGAAGAAATGATGAAATAATATTATTTCAAGTATAGCCAACTGACAGGATATGCATTGGGAAGCCTAGCAGGCTTTTCTCCTTAATTGTAATTGTGTATTAGCTTGAGAAGATTTCAGCAGATGTGCTTGTGAAGGACACAAATGAAATGTTAAAACTAAATAAATCAAAAGTACCTTTCCTTGGGCTTCTTGGTTCAGCAGGATTTTCAGTACTGTAAATAGGTAAAAGTAAATGATTATCTGTCAGTATCTGACAGTAAAAAAAATGTGTAAAATATTCAAATCAGCCTAATAAATGGGAATGACCTGGCACCTTATGGGGCTGAAAGAGCTTTATATCTAGTAGGTTTATGATCACTGATGACTTCAACACATCTGGATTTGGTTGTTCCCCACCATTTCTAGGTATCTCTTTCTAATCACAAAGGGACCCAAAATGACGAAACATATACTGTGATATCATGACCCATGCTCCATCATTTAGGGCGGAGGAACTGCTCATTCTGGATTTAGCTCAATTTTTTTTTTCCAAAGATGGAATAACCCACAACCTTACAAAAACAGTATGAATAATGAATAAAGGAGAATATTTAAGATTGATTGATTGGTTTACTTATTTACTTA